TTTTCCTTTACGTTTAATCACCTTCTTTTTGGTAATTTTCTTAGGTTTACCTTCTCTGGTAACTTCTTCTGTGACTGTCACCTGCTCTTTTACTTCTTCTACTTCCGTTGGTGTAATACGTTCTGATGCAGGCAGTGGTTTTATAGTTTCTTCAACGATTTCTTCCACTGGTCCTTCAGTTACAGTTGTCACAGGTGTTTTGCCCTGTTCTTCGACTGTAATCACTTCTGTCACTTGCTGTTCCTGTCCTTTACGCTTAATAATTTTCTTCTTTGTAGTTTTCTTTGGTTTACCCCATCGAGTTACTTCTTCTGTAACTGTAACTTGCTCCCTAACCTCCTCTACTTCCGATGGTTTGACATATTGTGGTGTTGGTAATCGTTTCACGATCTCTTCTACTACTTCTTCCGCTGGTCCTTCAGCGACACTAGTCTCTGGTGCTTTTCCTTCTTCTTCGACTGTAACTACTTCAGTCACCTGTTGCTCTTTACCTTTCCTCTTAATTATCTTCTTTTTAGTAATTTTCTTTGGTTTTCCTTCTTTTGTTACTTCTTCCGTTAGTGTCACTTGTTCTTCCACTTTTTCAGTAGGTGTAATGTAGTCTACTGGCGCCAATGGTTTTGTTTCTTCCTCTGGTACTTCTTCTTCCATTGGTTTCGTTATTACCGTGGTTACTGGTGCTTTTCCTTCTTCTTCCACCGTCGTTTCCTCAGTAACTTGTGCTTTTCCTTTCTTTCGTACAATTTTCTTGGTAACTTTCTTCTTTTGATCCGTATCTTGAACTTGAATTACTTCAACTTCAACTTTCTCCTCTTCCTTGTGAGTTTCTTCGACCTCGTCGATTCTCGTTGGTACAATTTCTTCAACATCCATCGTTGTGGTGATCTCCTCGATAGGCATAAACTGTTTCTTTGGTATCGATGGTATTTTCGGTTTGATATCTTCAAGTTCCTCCTCAATGACGACGACATTGTCCTCTTCAGCCTCTGTCTTAGGCTTTTTCTTACGTATAATCGTTTTCTTAGTCTTAACCGCGGCAGTTTCATCGTCCTTACTTCCGCGCCTGAATTTCGTCGTGTACTCTTCGATTACCTCTGTGTCTGATTCGATCGTTTGCTGTGGCGTATCGTGTTTTGTTGTGTGTTGTGTGATTGTGATGTGATGTTGTTGCGCTGGTACTTCTGTAGTTTCTGAAATGTATACAAGAACAAGTGTGATATGATTATCGTGTCGTGGCAGTAATCGTTCTCGCACTATTTTGCTTTTCTTTTACTTTTTCTTTGTTTTCTTTTTATTTTTGGTTTGACTTCTCACGTATAACCGCGGCACCTCGCCGAAATTTGTGTTTCGGCGCTTGATTTGGTTAATTTGTATTGTGTGTACCTTGAGTCATCGATTTCGCAGTGTACAGAATCGTTGAACGCTGTGTACAAACCTGTTTCGGATGAAATTTCTGTACTTTGTCTGATGAATGATCTGTGTGTGAGAGTAACCTATGTTGTTTCCATGAACCTGTTCGTATCGTGTCTGATTCTGTGGTGTTGTCTACATACCTACCTTGCACGATTTTCTACAACCATTATCCTACACCCGACGACCCTATCAAACCTGCTTGGAACACGCGTTTAAAAGTTTCGCACGTTGATCGTTGTTGCGCCTCGATCGAGCCTCCCCCTACGATCTCTCAACAACCAAATCAGTATAACTATCACTATCGTCAATACGTCTTCTGGTCGAATCCTAAACGTCCACGTGCACGTCCGTCCCGTCGATGCCAATCGAATACGTTGATAACAATAATACTCACCCACAACGTGTTCCAGGTGTTCTGCCTCGATAGTAACGCTTGCTAACTTCGCGAAAGGTAACGCAGACTCGGGCATTTCTGACTCAGTTTCGCCAGAGCTCAGTGGTTCTGTCACGATCACACCTTGCCGAATCTCATCTATACCTCTGGCTGTCTTTCCCTCAGGCTTAGTTACTTTAAATTCACCAGCTGCATCAGCTGGTTGAATCTCAGTCTTCAAAGCTACTTCGTGTTTAATTACGTCAGGTTGAGCCGAAACTTCTTTCGCAACGCCTTTTATCACTTCCTTCGATTCTTGTTCCGTAGCTGTCACCTGTGTCACTTCGACACTCTCCGACATGCGGAACGACATCTCAGCCGTGACCGATATAGCTGTTTTCTCGACGACGAGTGTATCCTCGCTCTCTTGGGCCACTGGTTGCATTTGTTCAATACTTTCGAACGGAATTTGTTCGGGAATAATTTGTTTCGTATCTGGTTTGCTAGCTTCTTGCAACTCTTCAGCAGTGACCGACGTGATCACCTGGGATTTCTCAGCAACTTGGATACCCAAGAGACTAGGTTTGGCCGTTTGAGTGGACGGTTCGTCAGGTGTTGGAAGACCTTTCTCTAGTTCACCAAACGCTACTTCTGACACTGACAGAGACAGCAATTCTTCCAGTTGAGGCTTCCCTTTTTGTTCCTCCGGTGCTTTTGGTTTAGGAAGTTCCTGGGCACTGGTCATAGTTAAGACTTCTGACGTTTCAGCAACTTCAATGCTGTCCAATTGTGGAAGAGCTTTGCGTACTTTGGGAGCTTCTGGAGCTGGTAATTCCTTCTCAGCTTCTGTTGATATCACTTCTGAAACGGTAAGGAAGCTCAGCTCTTCCACATCCGGTCTGCCCTTCTGGCTCTCAGGTTTCTCCAATTTCTCTAATTCCCCTACACTCGTCACAGTCAAGACTTCAGTCTTTTCAGCTATTTCTCTGCCAATCATCTGCGGTTGAGCAATCTTCTCACTTGGTTTCTCAGGAGATGGCAAAGTATCCTCCAATNTTTCAGCTATTTCTCTGCCAATCATCTGTGGTTGAGCAATCTTCTCACTTGGTTTCTCAGGAGATGGCAAAGTATCCTCTAATTCGTTTGAAACAACTTGGGAAACTGTAATTGACGTTAGTTCGTCCAATGTTGGCTTTCCTTTTTGTTCCTCAGGCAATGTGGGCTTTTCTAGTTCCTCTACATTCGTCACAGTCAAGACTTCAGTCTTCTCAGCTATTTCTCTGCCAATCATCTGCGGTTGAGCAATCTTCTCACTTGGTTTCTCAGGAGATGGCAAAGTATCCTCCAATTCGCTAGAAACAACTTGGGAAACTGTAATTGACGTTAGTTCGTCCAATGTTGGCTTTCCTTTTTGTTCCTCGGGTAATATGGGCTTTTCTAATTCTTCTACACTCGTCACAGTCAAGACTTCAGTCTTCTCAGCTATTTCTCTGCCAATCATCTGCGGTTGAGCAATCTTCTCACTTGGTTTCTCAGGAGATGGCAAAGTATCCTCCAATTCGCTAGAAACAACTTGGGAAACTGTAATTGACGTTAGTTCGTCCAATGTTGGCTTTCCTTTTTGTTCCTCGGGTAATATGGGCTTTTCTAATTCTTCTACACTCGTCACAGTCAAGACTTCAGTCTTTTCAGCTATTTCTCTGCCAATTATTTGTGGTTGAGCAATCTTCTCACTTGGTTTCTCAGGAGATGGCAAAGTATCCTCTAATTCGTTTGAAACAACTTGGGAAACTGTAATTGACGTTAGTTCGTCCAATGTTGGCTTTCCTTTTTGTTCCTCGGGTAATATGGGCTTTTCTAATTCCTCTACACTCGTCACAGTCAAGACTTCAGTCTTTTCAGCTATTTCTCTGCCAATCATCTGTGGTTGAGCAATCTTCTCACTTGGTTTCTCAGGAGATGGCAAAGTATCCTCCAATTCGCTAGAAACAACTTGGGAAACTGTAATTGACGTTAGTTCGTCCAATGTTGGCTTTCCTTTTTGTTCCTCAGGCAATGTGGGCTTTTCTAGTTCCTCTACATTCGTCACAGTCAAGACTTCAGTCTTTTCAGCTATTTCTCTGCCAATCATCTGTGGTTGAGCAATCTTCTCACTTGGTTTCTCAGGAGATGGCAAAGTATCCTCTAGTTCGTTTGAAACAACTTGGGAAACTGTAATTGACGTTAGTTCGTCCAATGTTGGCTTTCCTTTTTGTTCCTCGGGTAATATGGGCTTTTCTAATTCTTCTACACTCGTCACAGTCAAGACTTCAGTCTTTTCAGCTATTTCTCTGCCAATCATTTGTGGTTGAGCAATCTTCTCACTTGGTTTCTCAGGAGATGGCAAAGTATCCTCCAATTCGCTAGAAACAACTTGGGAAACTGTAATTGACGTCAGTTCATCCAGTGTTTGCTTTCCTTTTTGTTCCTCGGGTAATATAGGCTTTTCTAATTCCTCTACACTCGTCACAGTCAAGACTTCAGTCTTTTCAGCTATTTCTCTGCCAGTTATCAGTGGTTGAGCAATTTTCTCACTTGGTTTTTCAGGAGACGGTAGAATGTCTTCCAATTCATTGGACACCACTTGAGAAACTGTTAAAGACGTCAATTCGTCCAAACTTGCTTTACCTTTCTGTCCTTCAGGTAGTATAGCTTTTTCTAATTCTTCTACACTGGTCACAGTTAGAACTTGACTAGTTTCAGCGACTTCTCTTCCCGTAAGAGCTGGTTTAGCAGTCACCGAACTAGGTGCTATTTGCTTCTCTAACGTCTCTTCAGTCTCGTGTGAAACCGTCTGAGAGATGGTAATAGAAGTGAGTTCTTCTACATTTGGTTTTCCTTTCTGTTGCTCTGGCGCTCGGTCAGCCATTAATTCTTCCGCAGCCATCATTGTCAAAATTTGAGTAGTTTCTGCTATATCACGTCCTGTTAGGCTTGGTTGCGCCATTTTCTCTACAGGCACTTCAGGACTCGGCAGCACGTCTTCCATCTCAGTGGAAACTGTTTGCGACACCGATATGGATACAAATTCCTCCAGACCAGGAACACCTTTTTGTTCTCCAGGCTTCTTGTCTTCAGCTAACGTGTCAACATTCGCCATAGTCATAACTTCCATCGTTTGTGCCACGTCTCTGCCTATCATGCTTGGCTGCGCTTCTCTTTCAACTGGAACTTCTGGCGCAGGCAATGCTTCTTCCGCTTCTTGAGAGACCACCTGTGAAACTGTCAAAGGAGCCAGTTCTTCTATTTGTGGCATTCCTTTCTGTCCTTCTGGAGCTTTGGGTGCTGCGAGTTCCTCTGCACTCGCAACGGTCAACACCTGTAATGTCTCTGCTACGTCTCTGCCTGTCAAACTAGGCTGAGCTGTTTTCTCTTTTGGTACTTCAGCTGTTGGTAGCGTTTCTTCAGCTTCTGCAGACACAATGTGCGAAACTGTGAGCGGAGTGAACTCGTCCAATTTAGGTTTCCCTTTCTGCTCCTCCGGAGCTTTAGATGCCACGAGTTCCTCTGCACTGGCAACAGTCAACACCTGTATAGTTTCTGCTACGTCTCTTCCTATCAGACTAGGCTGAGCTGTCTTCTCCGTTGGGATTTCAGCTGTTGGTAGTGCTTCCTCAGCTTCTCCAGATATGACGTGAGAAATTGTGAGCGGAGTTAGCTCGTCCAATTTTGGTTTGCCTTTCTGTTCTTCAGGACGTTTCACCGTCAGTTCTTCAGTTTCAGTTATGGTTGTCACTTGGGATGTTTCTGCTGCCTCTCGGCCTAGAATATTAAAGTCTGCCTTCTGATCTTTAGGCACGAACTTGGTAGTGAATACATCTTCCGTTTCGTTGGATATTACCTCGGAGATCGTCACCGAAGTCATTTCTTCCACTTCCATTTTACCTTGTTGTTCCTTCAATTGAGTTACTTTCTCGAATTCTTCGGTGGTCGCTCCAGTTATTATTTGCGTCACTTCGGGAACTTCTCTGCCAGTCAAACTAGGCTGAGCCAGCTGTTCTCTAGGAGCAACATCTACAGGCAGGACATCTTCAATCTCGTTGGAAACTATTTCAGTAATCGTAACGGTAGTAAGTCCTTCCATCTGAGGCTTTCCTTTCTGTTCTTCAGGCTTAAACTTCCCTTCGAACGTCTCTTCACGTTCGCCAGCTGTCGTCTCAACCTTAACAGCTGTTTCTATGACAGTCTGGGTCATCGTGGCTTGAGAAGACACTCGTTTCTCCTCGTGAATTTCTTGAGTACTCTGAACACTCTCCACCAACGATCCAACTACAGTTTCGTGAAGACTGATGTCTTGGATGGCTGTAACCCCTTCTCTCTTAGGCACAACGTCGAAAACACTCTCTTTGTCCTCGGTAATAGTCTCTGACACTTGAAGAGGCGTCACTTTCTGCACATCTACGTCTGCTCTTTGAGTCTGAGGTTTGAACATGCCTTCGAACGTACGCTCGCTCTCTTCGACTATGTTCTGACTCACAATGATACTTTCAAACGTGTCTTGACCTAGAGTAGCTACTTGTGGCTTTACCGTGTCTTCTTTCACCTTGTCTGGTATATTAACTTGAGACTCGACTTGAGTGGTCTCGATGATGTTACGTTCCGTGATGATTGTACTGCTAGCTGTCTGAGCAGCCTCTAACTTTCTTTCCTTCAACAAAGACTCAACTTCAGCCGATGTCACTTCCGTCACTGATATACTGCGACCCTCTTCGAACGTAGGCACTGCGGTTGACGAAACTGTCCTTGGATACTTATCGAATATTCCTTCGCTTTCTGCACTTGGAACGTCTTCGACGATGATTGGTTCCAGGGCATCCTGTTTAGGATGAGCTTTCACCTCGTGTTTCTCTAACGGTCGAACATCTCCGGTGCTCTGATCGACGAACACTTGAGCCTTCTGCGCCACGTCCATTCCAACTCTCGTCAGAGTCACCTGAGCAGTGCTTTCTTCGCGTCTCTGTATTATCATAGTGTCCTCCTTATCCTGAGTGATTACCTGAGAAACCGTGACGCTCTTTCCTTCCACGAAGCTCACTCTCGCGCTACGTTCGTCCAGTTCCATCTTCTTCTCGAATATCGCGCCATGTTCCTCTGGGACTGTCTCACTGATGTCAACGCTCTCCAACGTAGTTTGAGTAGGACGCGCCTCGAAGGCCGTTGGTTTCGGAGCTTCGGGAAGATCTCCAAGCCCTTCCTTCAGAGACACTTCCATCTGTTCGGCGACTTCTTTACCCTCCATTGCTGGCTTTGCTATTTCTTCGCGGGGTTTTCTCATGGCTGACAATTCTGCTTCGACATCCTGTGCCGTGGTTGCTTCAGTTACAGCGATAAACCTGTTCTCGTCTATCGTGACACGCGCGCTGGTCTTCTGCATCGATAGTTCTTCGATCTTGTCCACTTCTTTCTCCGCCAGGATCTGTTCCGTCGTTTCTACCGTCTCGAACGGCTTCTGGCCCACCTGTGCCGTCGCTGTTATAGGTCTCACGATGTCTATTTCTCCAGTACTCGAGTGTGGAATGATCTCTGATCTTTCCGCTACCTCGTGACCAGATACAATAGCCGGCACTGCCGATCGTGTTCTCTCTTCCTGCATGGTTTTCAACACCTCCTCCTTATCCGCTGCGCTCACTTCGACGACGGTGGTCACGCGTTTACCTTCTTCGATCGAAACTTCCACCTTCTGAACTTCTGGCTTGAACTTTCCTTCGAAGATGTTCTCTTGATCCTGAACGATATCCTCCCTGACTTGCACACTTTGATACACTTCTTGACTCGGCAACGCCTTTTTGGTATCTGGTCTCTCTATATTTACTTCTGCCACCGAATCTTCGACAGAGACTGTGGTGGTTTCGGCAATCGCGCGAGTGGTATCCAGTCCAACGGAAGCTGCACGCTTAGATGGTTGTTCTTCAGCAACGTATAGAGATTCTTTGTCCGCGGGAGTTATTTGGGAAACAGTCACGATCTGTCTACCTTCCTCAAGATCTACGACAGCTCTCTTATCCTCTGGTAGTTGTCCCGGTATGAATCTGTCCTCGCTTTCCTGCACGACAGTCTGAGACTCAATCAACGGGATAAACGGAACGTGTTCTGGTACTGCAGTGGCGCCTGATGGTTTCTCTTCGACGAACACTCCTGCGCTGAAATCTGCGACTTGCACCGTTGTTTCCGCGACCACGTGACCAGAAACCAAGCTTTTCCCAGCAGTCCTCATCTCTGGCAACTCTTTGGACTTGTACTCTTCCTCTTTGTCCTCTAAAATCACAGCTGACACTTGTATACTCTGTTCCTCCACCATGGACAAGTCAGCCAATGCTCGCAACGGCGCTTTATCCTTGTCGAGCGACCCTTCAGCCTCGGTTGGTTGGGTTTCCGAGCTAATTAAAGCTTCCAGGGGGATGCTAGATGGCACTGCTGACGCGGAAACTGGCTTCACCTCTTCTAACTTTCCAGCACTCGAGTCAACGGTGATTTCAGTCTTCTCCGCAATCACGTGTCCGGCAAACTGGACGCTAGCCTGTTTTTCAGTCGGTTTCTCAGGGATCTGGAGACTATCCTCTTTGTCGGCCGGGATCTCGGTGGTGGTAGTAGCGCTGATGATTTCACTGACAGACACTTCGGCTTTGTTGGTGATGACAGGTTTATCTTTGAATTCTTTCTCCGTCTCGGACACAATGGTCTCGGTTTGAACGACGCTCTCGAATGGCAATCGTTCCTCTTTGGCTGCGACTGTAGCTGGCACGGGTACGGTCAAGTCACCGGAAACAGCAGCTGGATTGATCTCTGTCAGTTGAGCCACTTTGTGAGCATCGAAACTAGGCGTGGCCTGTTCACCATGGATCTCCAGTCTCTCGAAGTACTCCTTCTCTTTGTCTGAAGCGATCGTCTCGATCACCGTGACTCCCTCCTCTTCCTGGAATGAAACGTCTACCACTTTCTTGTCTGGTTGAACGAAATCTTCCATAGGCTTCTCCAGGTCGCCAGGAGCAGTCTCCGAGGCAATTAAACTGCGGAAAGTGATATGATCCGTCGTAGCCGTTGCCGCGGGAGCTTCCTCGCGCTTAAATTCGCCTATGTTATCTGTCGTGGTGGTCTCGCTAGTTTGCGCCACAGTGTGTGTCGGAATGTCGAAGCTAGCTGACTTGGTCTCTGGTTTCTCAGCTTCTGGAAGCAGGCTCTCTTTGTCTTCGGTGGTAACTGCTGACACAATCAAACCTTCACCAGTCACGAACTCAAGATTCGCTTTCTTATCGGAAGGTTTAATCTCGCTGAATGGCGCTTCTGTCTCTCTGGTCTGCACCTCTTCAGCAACCACGGCTTCGACAGCCAGCACCGTGGTCTTTGGCTTCATTTCCTGAACGGTATCGCGTGGCAAGTCGCTCAGACCTGTGTCACTGATGATCTCGAATTTAGACGCCACTCCTTGAGTGACCACGTCTACCGTGGCTTCCACGCCTTTGGGTCTCTCCTCTCCAGTGAAAACTCCTTCTTTATCCTCCGGATACGTCATACCTACCACGACACTTTGACCTTCTTCGAAAGTGACCTCAACGTTCTTAGTATCAGGTTTCATATCTTCCTGTAGAGGAGACTCTTTCTCAGAGACTGATATCTCCGTCTGTTCGACGATTTCCAGTCCACTCTGTTGCTGACTAGCACGCTCTTCCTTCGCCTTCTCTTCCGTCAGAATATCTACGTTGCTCGCGAGAATTGTCTCCTCTAGTTCGGCGACCTCGTGACCTCCGGTGATTCCTAGAGTAACCTTTCTCTCTTTCGGTATCTCTTCCACTTCTAACTTCTCCTCTTCCTGGACACTGGTCACCTCGGTCACTGTCAGTTTCTCAGTCTTCGTCTGGATCTCAACGTCAGCGCTCTGAGTAGTTGGCAGTACATCTGCTTCCCGAGTCTTCTCCGTTTCAGCGATGGTCGTCTCCGTGACGATCAATTCCTCCAGAGCGTCCCTTTGCGGAATAGCCTTTCCGGACTTTGGTTTGTCGATGCTCATCACAGCGGTGCTTTGCTCTACCAGAGTCTCTGACTTCAGCGCGACCGTGCGACCGGACACCAACGTCTGAGCAGTGTAATCCTGTGGTCTCGCGTCAGGGCTGTAAACGTTCTCGCGATCGTGTGGAATAACCTCCGTGACAGTTGGGCCGGGTCTGGGTTCAGTCAATTCTAAAATCGCTGTCTTCTGATCCGGTTGTACGTCGGCTTTGTACAAATCTTCCTTCTCTGCTAGCTGTTGCATGGCTACAGTCACGCTCTCCAGTGGAACGTGCGATGGTTCAGCCACGCCGGAAGCTGGTTTCTCCTCAGGCACGTATTCACCCGTTGGCGAGTGAGTTCTGACTTCCTCGAACACCGGAGCGACTTGCGTGGTGAACTCTGTGCTGGCATACTCTCCCTTAACCTCAGAAATCTGCGTGTACTCGGCTTCTCTCTCACTAGCGATCACCATAGTGGTACGCACGCTCTCTATCTCGTTCATTGTGATTTCAGCCATCTTCGATTCAGGTGATTTGTCCTTTTCGACAGGTGCCACGTCTTCTGCCACGACTGTCTCTCCTACTACAGTACCCTGCAACCCGATTGGCTCTACCTTAGCCACACCAGAAGATGGGATTTCTTTCTTGATAACGCCTAAATTGTCCTCCGGCTGAGTCATCTCAACTTCTAACGAAACCACGGGATGAGCGGGCACCGTCTTTCCACGATGAGATTCCGGCATCTCGAAGATCTTGAGATCAGCTTCCTTCTCTATGGACGTTGTCTGGAACACCTCGATGCTTCTAATCGCGTCATAACTAGCTTCAACTACACGTTCCTCTGGTTTTGCTACCTCTTCCATTTTCGCTTCGCGGTCGTGGATCATTGTTTCTTGCACCGTCTTAGCCTCGGTCAATTGCACAGCCACGGTTCCACTTTCCTCCACGTACTTTAGTTCCTCCTTGAAATCTGACGGATAATCCGCTGTCTGGATCTCCGATATCATCACGTGTTCCTCGGGTCGGATCGAAGTTTCCGCCAGTACCTTGGTTGGCTTCTGGTCCGGATGATAGATACCCTCGGACTCTTGAACGAGTGTACTCGCGACAGAGCCAATTTCCAACGAAGATATCGACGTCTCTGCCGTCTTTGTAACTGGTTTATCTCCTGGTTGATACTCCTTCTCCTTCTCAGATGGGACAGTCTCCACAGTCATGGCCGACGCGATTTCGACCACGTTCAAATCGGCCACAGCCCTCTTCGTCTCTTCGATTGTCAAGTGAGTCTCCGTGTCTTGCGTTTGTACCGTGGACACGGAAACTCCTTCTAACAGAGTCACGTTCGTCGTAGCCTCGAACGTGTCGGTTTTTCGTTCAGAAACAAACAGCCCCTCGCTCTCCTGAACGACATTCTGCTGGACAATTGCTATTTCGTTCCCGTAGGAGATTCCGACCTGAGCTCTCTGACTGGATGGTAGTCTTCCTGGCACGTACTCACCTTCCTTCTCAGGCGCGTGCGTTTCCTCCGTGACTCGCTGACGTTGCGGAATCACAGTTTCCGTGGCAACTTCCGTAGGGACTACCAGTTCTGGGTAATACTTTCCTGGTTTGTCCTCTGCCCGAACTTCTTCAACGACCAGTGGCTCAACCGTCGTTACGTTCACTCTGGGTTTAGTTGGCACAGTCCTCAACGGTTCCAGCTTGTCCTCCGACAGTCCTTCTTGAACTTCGTACACTGACAGCCCTACCTGAGGTAGAACAGTGTCTTCCGCTTTGGCCGTTAACGGCGACACGAAATCTTCTGTCGGAGCTTCCTTCTGACTTACCATCGTCTCGTACACGGTGGTAGCTTCTTGTACAGTCACGCTAACGTCCGCAGTTCGACCGACTTCCTGTTTGTCTATGGTCAGAGCAGACAGGCCAGCGTCGTTGGTCAGAGTCTCGCTGACGACCAAACCCTCCGATGGAACGAAACCTGGCGTTGCCTCGTACGACGTAGGCTTGAACGTGTCGGCGAATTCACCGGTGGAAGCTTGAACAGTTGTCTCGGTAGTGGAGTAAGGCTCCACCGGTGAAATAGACATGGATGCTTTGCGTTCGACCGGCTTGACGCGAGATATATCGTCGATCTCTTTCTCCTGTACAGGAACCAATTGCTCGGTCAACGGCGTGATGGTGTCCATCGTCAATTTAGCTCTCTCTAGTTCTGGTTTTCCAGGTGCCTGTTCGATGGTACGATCCAAAGGCACCACTTGATGCCGTTGGCTAGGAACGTTCAACACGATCGAAGGCATAGATTTATCTCTGGTAATCTCGAACTCTTCGATCTCTTCCAGCTCAACCTCGTCCTGACCAATCTTTGGTCGTTTCGGTTTCAATTCTTTCCTCACTTTCTCTATAATTTCCTCCTCCTCCTCCTCCTCTTCGTCTACCTGTTTTTCTATATCATCGTGTTTCCTTTGTTTCTGAGCCAGTCTGCCCCTTGAGTCTGTTTCGATAATAACCGTCTCGATTTCTTCCTCGGTCTCTTCCACGTCCTTTCTCTTCTTCCTCTCCTTTTCGGTCTCCTCGATCTCTTCGATCTCTACAACCTGAACCCCCTCGTCCCTATCTTCCTTTCTCTCCTCGATCTGTTCCTTCGGTTTTGTTACTTTTCGTTCGTGCAGTGTCGTGTGTGCCTGCCGTGTGTCCTCGTATTCTGTGGAAAGTATGTGAGAATATTCGTGTCAATCATGAACGCGGAAACGTACGGGTCTTTCTCTCACGTTTAAACCTTTCGCACGTTCGTTCGTTCGTTCGCTCGTTCGCTCGCTCTCACTTTGCCGGAGTTAGACGTTCAAAGAAAAAAAAAAAAATTTCATTCTCGTGGCTCTATTTCTTCATTTTTCTTTTTTTTTTTTTTTGTTTTTACTTCTCTCAACTAATTTTTCTTTTTCTCTTTTACTCTTTTGCAGAACTTCATGCGACGAACCATTGATATGCTGCGGATGCTGCTTGCTCAGACAACGTGCTTCAATACGAGACAAGAGTGAGACAAAAGGAAACCTACATACGTACAGTGCACGGAGTTTGTATAAAGGTAAGAGAAATCAAAAAAAATAAAAGAAAGAAAGTAATTAAAAGAAACGAAGAAAAGGAAAAAAAATTGAAGTAAGAACAATTACAGCGGATAGTGTGCGAACAGCGTGTTTTATTTTATACTACGCGGCTTCCAAAGGTATCGTATGGTCGACCATTTCGGGATGAGAATGTTCAAATGTCACGCACAAGAAAGAAAATAGAAGATAAAAGTTTTAATATTGATTTTGCTCGTTTCCTTTTTTTTTCTTTTATTAACTTTTAATTAGACTTACGTTTAGCGTTCAATACAAATGAATTGATGGCTAAATATATCACAGATTAATCATATAGAATGTACTGTGTACATTATTAATTTCTAGTATTTCTCGTAAAGTTATAAAAAAGTTCTGTTACTTTCCTTTCTGTACATTGTACAATGACCTGAATAGATTATTTAAATTTTCCATGATGTTTTGTGACGAAGAATATATTTATATGGTATTCAATAACTTATTCAATTCAGTTACATGACGTTCAATATATTTAACATCACTGAAATAGAAGGATTGAAGGAATGAATCTAATATTTAATACAGAATAGAATTTTCATAACTTTGTTTAATTTTTCTATTGAACTATTATCGTTACATCGTAATAAATCTCTTCAAAACGAGTCAATAAGTAAATAAATCTATCTACTGTAGGGCCATCTCATAAAAATAATGAAACTTCCTCTTCTTCTACCTCTTTCTTTAAATTAATCGTTTGCAAGAAGGCTGCCAGAAATCAGCAGCGCAAACACATTATGCGCTCATAATTATACCGCAAAAATGACTATCTATTGCAAAGATAGTAATGTGTGTCATCCCGAGTAGGTCAAAGACAGTACACGGTCACAGGTAAGTAGATAATGTTCACGAGTGGATAACGACTCGATTGACACAGTGTTTCTTGTAAAGTTTCTCACAATGGCATGGAATTGAATACTGTCTCATTTTGTCGGTATTACGATGTCTCTGGAATGTTTGTTGCGATATCTAGAAGAGTAGTGTGCGCAGGCACTTGGGCTCATGCGTGTTTAATAACAAGTGGTGCGTGTGTGAATCTCGTGTGGTGGCAGTGGAAAGAGATAGTATAGGCCGGCCAGAAGTCAAACCAACGTTAACACAGAAAAAAAGAAAGGAAAAAAAAAAGAAAGAGAGAGGAAAGAAGAAATAAAATAAAGAAGAAACAAATAAAAATTGACGCTTGTCTGTTACACATCGTGCTTGCTACTAATGCCAAACAAATAAAAAAAAAAAAAAAAAAAAAAAAAAAAAAAAGAAACAAAAGGAGAAATTGGAAATGAAAATAAACGAGGAAGGTAAATCTTTTCTCTAATGTGCTAATCATGTGCGCAAGGGCAACGTAATAAATTATACAGAGAGAGATTCATGTGAGTGTGTAACTTGAATGTGTAACAGTAACAAGTACAGAAAACAGCCAATTGCATTCTCAATTAACGTTGCAAATATGAACTACTACCAGAAAATAACAGTTTATCAACGAATATTATATAATAACCGATCCAGAAACTCTGAAATACGAACATTAGGAAAATTGAATGATCATCGAAATTGTTTATCAATTTTTTTTATCAATGACACATTCGAAGAAATTTATGTAATCTTTGATTGCAATGAATGTACAGTTTATATGTATTTCATATATTTCACAGTTTCTGAAATAATGAACTAATGCAAACAGGACATGAAAATGAACATAAACGAACCGTTCAAAAACAGAAAAAAACTGGTGATAGAAAGTCGGTGAAAAAATGATGGACTCGTTGCCAAACGCAAATGAAATACATGAATCGAAGCGTGTATCAAATTTTACTTACATCGAAACTGCGATTAGCAGAGCGAAGCTCAAAACGAGAAGCTTTTGGTGGTGGTATTTTTTTTTTTTTTTTTTGGTTCGGTTGACATGGATTGAAGATTTATATAGTAATTTTTTTTTTGGGGGGGGGAGGGGAGGCGATTATAATTTAAGGAAAAAGTGTAATGAGAGGGGAAAGAGTAGGATAACGATGGGATATGGCGCGTGGAAAGCATAGCGGCATAAGCAGAACAATTTTACTGCTATTATTCGATCAAGTAAGCTTCATGCATCTGAAAGAATAATAAAATATCATCATTACGTACAGACCGTATCGTATGATCAATCACTCACATACTTTGTCTTTTTTCTTTTTTTTTTTTTTTGTTTCTGTCTCAATGATTTTTGATCTACGACACATGGTATCGATACTATTAGTCAGCGCAAGTGAGCTTAAGATGTGAATCTTTTTCTTAGTAGTTTAGATGATCTTCAAGCTTGTAGCGGAATGTTTGATGAAGAATTTTGGCATCCGTTCAGAATTACCACATTCTGTCGATTTAATTAATTTTCAGCTGGTGTCGTTGGATCGTGGATAATTCGTAATTCATTTTTTCTTTTTGTACAAGAATTGATCATACAAATATATAATACTATACAAATATATAATACTAGAAAATTGAAATTTATCAAATTAAAAAATTAATTAAAATTATACGAGTTTATACAATAATCAAGATTGTCCGAAAATTAATCAAATTCAATACATGTATAAAAATTCAATTAATTTTATACATAGAATTGTAAATGAAAGATGAATGATCTAACGTGTCACCTATGAACCAACGATACCGAAGTAGTTGAAAATTAAAATTTTACTCTACGCAGAATTATTTTTAATAATCTGAAATCCTTTCTCATTGATCGTAATGTAATATTGCTAAATTAAAGTGATGTACAATCGTAGACATTTGCAAGGAATGTTTGAAGATGATTTAAACTAAAGAATAATCTCTGAATAAACAAAGAATTGGAAAAAAAGTAGACTGGGAATGTCGATGTGGTGTCGACTGTCCGGACACTGAAATCTTTGTGAAAAAATGATAAGTAAATAGTATTAATGATGCTGTCCGTTCGTGAATCGAATGGACTGAAATTGTATGAATTGTATTATCCCATGCATTGAGAACACGTTGCTTCAAACCTTTAATGTCACGAATATCCTGCGTGCGGACGGCTTTTCTTTCGTCCCTCCTCTCTGCAAACAGAAAATCCATTCTTTCGTGGGAGCTCTGGAATTAAGGGGCGAGCGCAGAAAAGACAAAGAGAAAAGAGATGAAAAAAAAAAACACACACACACACAGAGAAATATTATGGCACGTGGTATAAAATCACTTTTATTTCAAATATACAATACATAACGTATACATACAAAAAAAAAGTGGCGAAGGAAAACATTTCGATTTCCTTCGGTTGTTAAATTATATACAAAAAAAAGGAGAGAGAGAAAAAATAAACACAAAATGAAATAAAACGCATGCTTATTCGAGCTTATACAGGTATATATGTGTATCGTGAAGTCGCGGACTATATACAAAAATTGAAAACTGAAGGGAAATGTACAAGTTGTTATAAGTGTATAGGCAGCCACGCAAGCACACACCAAAACGTAAGACGTTTAATATATTAGATGATCCGCGATGTCTTTTTCGTAACAACATCGCGTCGTTTCGTTGTTTATGCACATTTTTTTTCTGTTTTTCTTTTTCTCCAAGTATTTCAAACCTCACACCGCATTCCCGACTTACCCATGAAATGGACCTCCGTTTTACGGATGACATCCACTCGTTCCGTAATCCGCTCCTCCGTTTCAATCTGCGAATAATTATTCTTACTGTGCTTTCGGTTCAAACGTTTAACGTAGCCATATAAGCGATTATAAAAATGTATTAAATTTACAGTATGTACGTAAATAGATAACGACTGTCGAAAGTTGAAAGAAAAGAATTTAATCGAAACGTTTGACCGAACAATTCCTGTGAACAGAAACACTGATACCTTTTTATCCCTTTGAATATTTATGCAGTCAAATGTCAATTCTCTGCAACAGGCAGAGAGGCTACCAATACATATCAGAAAGAAGGATTATTTTTCTTATCCAAATATTTTGTTCAAACTTCAAGAAACCTTGATAGATAATTCAATTAAAAGCAATTTAAAGAATACAGGAGGATTAAAAAAAAAAAAAAAAAAAAGAAAAGAAAAAGATCCTTACTTCCGTAGCTTCTGTAACTTCCCAAGCACGCGGCCGGAAGTCCTCCGGGGCAAAGTGCGTGAGCACCTCCTCCACGGTGACGTGTTGCAGCTCGATCATTCTCATGAAAGCACGGAAGCCAACGGTAGCAGCCACCACACTTTCGTCGGTGGTCGTTTCCTCTGTCAGAACCTGCGTGATCAACGGACCGTGGCCTTCCCTCTCCACCAGCTGAACCAGCGCGTTCTGAGCCTCGGGGGTTTTCAGCGCGGGGAAGTTGTCCGTTCTGTACAAGCTCTCGTTTATCTCGTTCACGGAGACTCCTTGGCGCACCAAAAAGCCGATGGTAGCCAATTCGCGAAGAGGTGCTTCCCCAGGCCCGAATTCTTTCGCGTGAAGCGTCTCCATGATCTCCTCCACCTCTCTCGCGATGTTCTCTCGCTGTCTCTCCACGATTTCCTCGATGGTCACCTTCACCCTGTCTTTCTTCTTCTTTTTCGGTTTCTCCTCCGTGATCACCTCTCTGGGCTTCTCCTCGAATATCTGTTCCTCGGTCACCACCGTTTTCTTCGCCTTTCGTTGCTTCGTGTCGATTCGTTTCATCTCCTGCACGCTGGCCTCGGTGTGCACCTCAGTGACAGAGACGGTCTCTAAAGTCTCCGACGTGATCTGAGCGCGATCGATCACCGATTCCACCGTAAAATCTCGCGCTATGTCTTCCGTGGCTACTTCCGAGACGACAACCACTCCCTCGCGCTCCTCCACCACCCGTTTCGCACGTTCCTCAGGTTTCGGTACCATCTCGCGCGTCTTCTGATCGTCGATTTTCTTCAGCGACGCGGTCGCTTCTGTCACCAGTGGCTCCTGAATTGGCACCACTTTCTTTGCTCGTGATACCTGTTAGATGTAATGCGATTCGTGGCTTTTAAATGAAAGAGGGAATTGCAAAAATAAATTTTTCGTTTATTATACATTTTCGTTGATGTAGAGTATTAATATTCTAGATTAACGAAAATGTTAATAAACGAAAAATTTATTTTATATATTATTGGAAATATATAATATTTGTTTTATATATTATTAAATATATAAAAGTATAGTATATAAAATATATATATTTTATAAAAATTTATTTTATATATTATTAATATTAATATTACTTATAATAAAGTAATTTTAATATCGCGGTGAATGCGGTAGTAGTTAATTTTTACATTTACCTCCGTTGGTTGTTCTTCGATAATTTCTGTCGTTTCGAGTACCTGAGTTTCTTCAACGTCGACAATTTTCCTAAACGAAAGATATCCATTGTAATATTGGGAGATTCGTCACAAAACAACGTATTTGACTATTAACTTTACTGACTTTTCCTCCGGCTGTTCCTTGGAAATCAGCTTCTCTTTGCGCACTTCCTTCTTGTCTATCTTCACGCGTTCAGTCTTCACCTTCTCCCTGGTCTCTTTAGCCTTCTTCAGTTCAGGCTTCTTCTTCTTGTGTGGTTTCTCCTTAGGTTTGACTTCAATCACCTGCTCCTCGACGACTTCCTCTTCGTCGAAGAACTGTCTTTCACCCGTTATATCTGAAAGAGAAATTTGAAAATAACATTCAAGCGTTGTTTCTTCTTTTTTTTTTTAAATTTCTTACAAATTATCACTAAATTTCCCAACAATGTTACTCGAGTAATCTTCTTTGTTCAATGTTTCTAATATTTAAATTTGCGATTGTTGAATTTTGAGGGTTTGAAGACGATACCTGTTACGCGTAGTTTAGCTTTCGTCGTTGCCAAACCTATCTCGCTGGTAGCTTTGCACACATAAACGGCGTCGTCCTCTTCGGTTGCGTGTTTAATTATCAACGCTGTCTTTTTCTCCTCATCAAGGATGCGAATTTTCACGTTCGGGGTATTGGCGATCATCTTGTCATTCTTGTACCACACGACATCTGGAAATTAAGAAAATGATATAATTCATCCAATAGTTAACTGTAGCACGATATGTATAATTCATATAGTAATGAAAATTATCAGTTAAACTTGCGTTTAAAATTGTAAAAAACATTTGACATACCTGGAACAGGATTGCCAGAGTACGAGCATTCGAACACCGCGGTTTCACCTTCCTTTGCATAAACGTCGGTAATCTCTTGAATGAATCGTGGTACAGATTGCGTGGCTAAAATCAGAAATCGCGGTTAATTGTAATAATTGTCCGAAAGAAATAAAAGAAGATGACAATAAACAGAAGATCTTCGACAAACAGCTTACCTGATCTTTTGATTGGTGATTGTGCGACTCGCGTGACCCCAATGTCAGTAATCTGGTTAGACGAACGAGAAAAAAACGAAACACACGTAAAGGAAATCCATGCGAAACAACAATTTTTATCAAAAGCACAGAAAACAATTAATTTTGTTACCAGACTGCATTTAGGGTATGATATTTCGTGCATCACGTAAAATGAAAAAACATATAGAAATATTCAGAGCCTAATACTTCCTGTGATATTCAACAGCTAAAACAATTTATATATATATATTTTTTTTAAATTATTTTCATGAAAATACGAAATTGCGTAAATTCAGTCGCTGCTTTATAGAATATGAACAAGTCTTATTTTCAATCAAAATAAAAGGAGACAGAATTGTTTTAACTTCTAAGTTTTGAACTAATCAGCATTGAGCTGTTTCATTTTAATTCAGAATTTAAAATAAAAATTTTAATTTAATTAAAATAATAAAAGAAATGTAATTTAATTTAATTTGAAACAAAGATTTTTATTTCAATTTAAAATAATAATTTTCTTCTTTTGATTTAATCTGCTTTCGCGACTTCGATTCACTGTAATCATTTTCAAATTTCATTCCTTCTAACCTCATTGAAAAAGAAAAAAAGAGAATGTATATATTTTCTTTCAATTACGTAAATCATTCTGTAGATTGTTAGTAATTCAATCGACAAGGATACCTGACATGGTGCCCCTTTCGTCCTCGCTGTGATGCTCATTGCACGAAACCTCGGACGCCGACATGTTTCCAGCTAGTCCAAGGTTTCCGCTACACTGACTCTCCAGTAATAAAAATTCCTGCAACTCCTCTTGGCTGTCTGCAGTGTGCAACTGCTGAAACGCGTCCAAATCGATTTCTCTCGGCTCCAAAGGGTACATCTTCGGATCCATCATCAAGTTCCCGTAACGTCGTTCCTTCGACCATCTCGCTACTGGAATTCTAGATTTCGGATAAGTGTGATACTTCCTCGCGTGATCGTACCCCAACGTAGTTTCCATCGTCTTTCCACCACCGTAATGGCTAGCGACGAATTTATTCTGTCCACTTCCGGTCGACGCTTCGCTGTTCTCTTCAATAGGCGACAAATAAACACCGGTTTCAGGGACGTTCAAATGATCGGAATGGACACAACTCTTCTTCTCAGTTCTCGGCGGTGGAAACTCATCGAAGTCCAACACGATCTTCTTTCTTCTCTGAGTTTTTAACAATTCCATCTTAGACTCGTTTTCTATCGTTACTTCGTCGATGTTCTCCGCTGTTTCACTTACAGCTTCGTTACTTTCAGTCGTGTCAAGTACAAGCGTTTCCTCTTTCGATTTGACACTTTTCATCGATTTGGTCGCGACCAACATGTCGCTGGATTTCACCAGTTTCGATTTGTCCAGTCTGGTTGGCGAAGGAGAGTTCGATTTACACGTTACTCTCCTCTGTTTCTCACCCATTGAGGTAGACTCGTTGACCTTCGAGCACTTCGTCGCTAGGACCGGAGACGGAGATCTAGCTTTCACAGTGATTCCCCTCATCGGCGTGGTCTTGTCCAACGTCGACGACCTCGACAATTTCACCTTCTGTAGATTGGAAGACTTACTCGTGCCGCTTCCATCTCGTTTACTCTTCGCAGGCACGCTCGCCGAAAGCAATTTTGTCGCCACGCTTCTCTCCTCTGAACTCTCTAATTTCTTCTTCTCCACCACTTTAATCGATCTCTCACTTCTCGTCTTCTTCTCGGTTTTAATTTTGTGTTTCTCGCTGTATCTCGATTCGGGAATGTTGTCAGTATTTTCTACGAAAGTGGTTGCCTCTCGATCGAGAATCGTTTCTCTGTTGGACGTGCTCATCTCCCACGAGTATTCCGTGCTAGTGATCCCTTCGATTTCCACGGAGTCCGAGAATCTTCTGGACAAGAAGAACCCCTTCGGAGAGGAGTCTTCCTCCTCGGAGCATCTCTTACCTTCGTCGTCGATGTTCATCAAAGTTCTCGTCGACGAGAATTCGCTGATCATCGTCGAGCTGTCCCTTTGAGAGCTTTCGTCCCTAATGGCGCGGTCGTCCAGGCTGTCCGTGGAGAAGCTGCACTCTGCTTCACTCAACATGCAATCGATCGCCTGCGACTGGCGACTCTTACCTTTCAGAGCCTCTTGCATCTCCTCCATGTGAGCCACCCACGACGGTTTCCTGTACTCCTTCGTTCCGACGATTCCTGACGAATTAAACGGTCATTAGAGACACGTTTATTATCATCGACCCTTTCAGTTCCATCGTCCAAGCGAAAAGATCTTCGTCTTCTTTTTATTTTTATTTTTGGATCAAAGCGTCCCCCCCCCCCCCCACCCCGTTTCGCAGCTTTCGAATCGTCGAGTGAAATTGTTTGACAATTCAAACGTTTAACTCTAGACTCGGAAATTTTGTTCCTACTGGGAGTTTAGAGATTTGGAAGAATTTGAGAATTTGGAAATTCGGAGATATCAGTGCGAAAGTTCGGACGTTGGAAAATTTAGCAACTTGGAAATTTAGGAATTCGGGAATTTGGAAATTTGAATATTTACTGATTTGGGAATTTGAGAATTCAGAAATTTGGGAATTTGAAGGTTTCGAAACTTGGAAACCTAGGGATTTGAGAATTCGGGGATTTAGATGGATATTTAGAAATTTCAAAAAATCGGAAAATTTAGAGATCTAAATACTGAGAAATTTAGAGATTGGAAAATTTGGAAATTTAAATATTTAGGAATTTGAATATTTAATTTGAAATGTGAAGATTTAAAAATTTGGAAACTTGGGAATTTGAGAAATTTAGATATTTGAAAATTTAAAAATCTGAACATTTACAGATCTAAACACTGAGAAATTTAGAAATTTAGAGATTGGAAAATTTGGAAATTTAAATATTTAGGAATTTGAATATTTAATTTGAAATTTAAAGATTTAAAAATTTGGAAACTTGGGAATTTGGGAAATTTAGATGTTTAGAAATTTAAAAATCTGAATATTTACAGATTTAAAAACTGAGAAATTTAGAAATCGTGAAATTTGGAAATTTAAATTTAGGAATTTGAACATTTTATTACTTGTAGTTGTAAAATTAACCACAAGTTGGAAGGCTTTGCAATTCTAAAATTTCTCGGTACCTAAACATCGAAAAATTTTATATACGTTGTTGTTACAATTTCACGCAATAATTCGAGAGCCAGTGGATGGAACTTAAAGGGTCCGAGTAGCCAGCGGAATGCTAAATAAAATATTAGAAAAAAAAGTGTATAAAAGTAATGGGATGTGAGTGTTCAGTGTGAGTTTTGAGATACAATATTTTATGAGGGAGATACAAGGAGTGGGAGATTCTCGTTGATGATTCCGATCGAAGAAGTGCGCAGCTGAAAACAACTCGTACCAAGCAGATTAGCAAAGCTTCCACCACCTTTAATAATTACTTCTTCGTTCCAGATGAACGAATCATTACCTTCTACCGACAGATATGTCGTGGTAGTCGACACGCCGAGCGGATTGTGTACTTCGAACACAATCTCGCCCATGTCGTCGGGATAAGTTTCGGCGATCGTCAATATCGACGTGCCATCCTCGAATTCCTCGACTTGGAATTCTTCCGACGGTATGATCTCCTGACCCTGCTTGTACCATTTTCCTTCTGGCTTCGGCTTTCCTCTGACCTTCACTTCCAATCTATGCAAAGCAGGAAATAACAACAAAATTATAATTAATAAATATAATTATAATTAATCTTAAATGCTTAATCTTAAATCTTTAATACTGAAAATAGCTGGATTTAATTTAATGAAATTTTATTCATTCATGATAGATTATGAAGTAGAACAGTATTTGAGATTTAGGTTTCTTTTAATAATTTTTATTTTACTCTTTTCTTTAATTTTTCGGATAGTTATATGTACAGAGATGATCGTGACAGCGACATATTTTTTTTTCTATGTACTAGAGAATAAAATTTAAGTTATTTCAGTATGTAATAATCGAAGAGGAAGAAATTAGTAATTAATATTTTATTATAATATTTTATTTTATATATTTTAAATGTTTTAAAATATATATTTTATTTTATATAGTATATAATTAGTAATTAGTAATTAATAAATTATTAATATAGTTTTACTAATATTTATGTATAATTATACTATTCCATGATCATTCGAGTATTAATTTTGGAAGAAATTTGTGAGTGAGAATACTCAGAAGTTTTGTCTGACTGATAATATTCTACTTAAAGTGAAACACTTGTATACTTGACTCTCTATTGTACATATATAAGGATTTTAATAATTATGAAAATAATGGTTTCACATTTTCTACAATATTATTTTTTTACCTGGTTAATTCTCCGACTTTGGTAGGAATTAACTGAGGAAGTTTCTTTATTATCTCCGGCGCAGATTCCTCTGTGTCCGTATCGAACAAGGGAGTTTCCTGAAACGAGAACAATCGAATTATAAAATAATCGAATTGTCAAACGTATAAATTACAAAACTTCATCGTTTATATAAAATAATTCTTTTTGCAGGTACCTTGGGAGATAAGAGATCCTCTTCCGAACCACTTTGCCCTGTAGTAAGAGACGTCGCAACGATCGAGGATGCAATCTCCGAATCAGGTACGTACTCGTATGCTGAAAATTATTATTATTTCTTTAAAACATCTCGCCAGTAATCTTAATTTCTTGTAACACTATTTTTGACATTATATTCAAACAGAATTATTCTTGTATTATTAATCACAATTCTATCACGAATAATGCTGTGTATTATCCCTAATTGTTTTTGCCACATCTAGATAAATATCATTTGATCAGCAACAGCAATTTAACAAATGTTCATAATTTTATTACTCGATATATTATATATGTATATAAAACCTCTCAGCAAATTCTCTTGTCAGTATTACTTCTAGTATCGAATCTAAATCGTCATATGCAATTTTTTCCAATTTCCAAATTTTTCACAAATTTCCTTCGAATTACTTCAAATCAATCATTTCAATTAAGCATCGCTATCGTCAACAACGTTTAAATTACCTTCCACGACAAGCGACGACATGCAAACGGCCTCGCCAACAGGATTCACGGCACGACAAGTGTATTCTCCAGCATCTTCAGGGAACACTTCGGTTATAGCCAAGCTGCAGACACCTTCCGTGTCTTGCACAATAGTGATCTCCTTGCCTTCCTTGATCGGTTTGTTGTCGTGGTACCACTCGACTCTGGGTGTAGGCTTTCCTTGAACGATGCACGTCAGGTTCGCGCTCTCGCCGTCCATGACCCTGACCGGTGACAATCGTTTGACGAACGTCGGTGAAACAAGCTCCACCGTTTCTTCCCACGGTGTCTCCAACAAATTTATCGTCGCCGTGCAGGTGACCGAGCCGCCAACGTTTTCGGCGCGACAGGTGTACGTGCCCGCGAACTCTGGCTTGATCTCCTTGATCATGAGGATCGATCTGTTCTCCTGTGTCACGATCCTCACCTGTGGCGTGGACTGTAACGAGAAAAATCGAAATTTTTACTCTATTCGTTGTTTTTAAAGATTTTCGCAATCGGTTACGGATATTAGAAGATCTTAGATACGAATCGTTTTTCTTTTTTTTTTTTCTTCTTTTTTTATTGTGATTTTCAAGGATATTTTCGATGTTTCAATTTGGGTAAGTGTGAATTGATGTTTGCTCAGAATCTTTCAGAGATTTTCAGTTTTTCGACATTTTAGACATATTCACGTTTGTTCAAAATGAATTTAGAGATTCTCGGATGTAATTAGTTTCAGAATTTTAAGAGTAAATCGTTTGTTTGTTATCTTTAAAGATTTTTATTACGATTAATCATCGTCCGAATTACGTTACCGAATTCCTTGTCAAGTAGGACACAAAATATAAATTGGAATTAGAAGTAATTGCCGCGTTGAGGGTTGATCACAAGGGTGACAGAGTGGAACTTTAAGAGCAAGTTTAAAGACTCGAGAAAAATGTACAGTTGTTAAAGAAACAAGTTACACAAATATTGAAGAAACATAAGCAGAAAAGTGGAAGGTTGAGGTACCTCCAGAGGACGAGTCTCGTGGAACCATTGGAAGGAGGCTGTCGGATAGGATTCGACACGCGTTTCCATGATCACGACCTCTCCCTCGGCAACGATTTGTGGTTGTAGCGGCTCGACGAACCTCGGTGCTTTCACCTCGTCCGTCTTGTCCTCGTGTTCTCTCACTGTAACAGAGCCCGAACTTCTCGCCTCCCCAACAGGATTTTGAACTCTAACCTCGTACTTGCCGCCATCTTTCTTCGCCACTTCGGGAATACGCAGTTCAGCAGTAGTTTCGTATATATTTATCAGGCGTTTATCAGACGGGATGATCTCGGCCCCGTTGCGGAACCATTTTACTTCCGGCGTCGGTTTGCTCTCGAAATCGGCCGACAAGATCAGTGGCTTTCCAAGTTCGGCCACCAAAGCTGGCAGGGGTCTGGTGATCCTCGGTGCTCGTAGAACTTCCGGTTTACTGACCTTTACCACGTTACTGATCACCAAGTTCGCTCTGCACTCGGCCCGGCCGAATTTATTCACAGCTCGAACGCGATAAATCGTCTCGTCCTCCTCGGTCGGCTGCAGTATGTGCAATTTCGCCTCGCCAGTTTCGGGATTGAAGGTGATTTCTCTGCCGTTCCGCGGCTTCAGCTCTTGCTCACCGCGGTACCACTTCACTTCCGGCACTGGTGTTCCAGTGACCACGCACTCGAGCACAGCTGGTTGGTGCTCCTCCACCATGAGAGGCTTAATGGGTGTCGCGAAGTGTGGCGCTACGCCTTCTTCCTCTTTTTCTGCGAAACGAAACAGTCGGTGAGTTTATGGCAGTTGCAAGGCGGAACGGTCACTGACAACGAGGCAACGGCACTGTAAAACTCAACATGCACAAAGTACAATTTCTTATAGTAAAACGAGTATGCGATAGTAGGATAGGACTTTGGTTTTTAGAATAGAATAACTTTAGAGTAGAAGCATAAGTAATTATTAATAAAAATAATCGTCGTTGTTTGTAAGAGGCTAGTAAGTTTAGTACCTGCCAGAGAAGATGTTGCTGATTCAAAGTAAAAATCAGATACTTCGAAAATGAAATTTTTTTTAAAGTTAGTAGGTTCGATAGGTTTCTTTAAAGTTGGTTGGTCAATTAAAGAAATGCTATAATAAAGAGAACACAGCAAAGGGTAAGGAAGCAACGTTCAGACTTCGCTTAGAAATTTCTTGAATTTCTGAACTCACAAGCGAATAACTTCTAAGCATTCGTAAATTCACAAATCATCAATCGAGAATTGAGCAGAAAACGATATCACACGAACGTCACAACACACACACACACAAATTTAGTACCGAATATCACGAGATTCACGGTGGACGTGGCTACTCCAGCAGGATTCGACGCTCTGCAGGAATACATGCCGGCGTCCTCCTCCTTCACCTTGGCTATTTCCAAAGAAGCGGTCGTTTCATAGATGGTCATTATATACTTCTCGCTGGCGTGAAGCTCCTGCTCGTTTCTGTACCATGTAATCTCGGGGAATGGATTGCCAAAAACTGTGCACGTGAATTTCGCGGTTGTTTCCGGTTGCGCGATAACGGGCTGCAACTTCTGAATGAACCTCGGGGCGATCTTTTTATCTTTATCCGTGATGGATATTTCTATCTGCGTACGCTGCTTGCGTTTCCTCTTACGCTCCTCCACTTTTTCCTCTTCGACTTTCTTTTCGACCTCGACTATATCCTCGGCGACTACGTCTTTAACCTTCTTCACTTTGACCTCTTCTACGGTCACTGTTTCGTCGACGACTTCTTCCTTTTCTACAGGAACAGGCACGGGTGCCTCTTCAGGTTTCTTCCTTGGTTTTCTCCATGGCATTTCAGCCACCGTTTCTTCCTTCACTTCTTCCTCTTCTGGTTTTTCCAATTTCGCCGGTTTCAATTCCGGTACCTCTTCTTTCTTAGGTATCTCCTCAGGTTTCTTTCTCTTCACGGGCTTCAGAGTTACCTTTTCGGGTATTTCCTCTTCCCGCGGTTTCTGAGGAACTGGCTTGAGACGAATTTCATGCTTCTCCTCTACTATTTCGGACACTTCTTCCTTTACGACTGGTTTAAGAACCACTTCTTCTACTTTCTCGATAAATTCTTCGCGTTTCTCGACTGGTGTCAGTTCCACCACCTTCTTCTCTTCTTCCGGCTTCTTTGGCTTTCGTCTTTTTCTCCAAGAGACTTCCGTTTCGACGACCTCTTCGACCACTTCGTCCTCTTTGCGCACCACTTCAGGTTTCATTTCCTCAACTTCGATCTTCTCCTCGACGACCTCTCTCACCGTTTCTTCCTTCGGTCTTCTCCACGAAAGCGCAGGCGCCTCCTCGGGTTTTTGTTCTTCGATCTCTTTAACTTCCACCTGGATTATCTCCGTAGCTTCCACTTTATGCTCAACGACCGTTGTTTCATCCAAAACCACTTTCTCCTGGTCGATCGGTACGACAGTGACTTCTTCTCGGAAGTCGACCACCTTCTTCGTTCTTTTGCCACGGCGCCATGGTAACACTGTTTCTGGTTTTTCCTCTTCTTCGGGTTTCTCTTCGACTTTTTCAGCAACCGGTTTTGGAACCGGTTCTAATTTCACTTCCTCTGGTTTCTCATCTTTTGGTTTCTCCAGAAGTTTGATTGGCTTCAATTTCACCTCTGGTTTCTTCTCTTCTTCCTCTGGTTTCTTCTTTTCTACAGGCTTCAAAATAACTTCTTCTGGCTTCTCTTCTTCTTTAGAAAGACGTTTGACAGCTTTTAATGTTACCTCTTCAGGTTTTTCTTCTTCTGGCTTTTCCAAGCGCTTGACGGGTTTCAATTTGACTTCTGGCTTCTCTTCTTCCGATTTTTCTTTCTTAACTGGCTTCAATTTTACCTCTTCCTTTTCTTCTTCTTCCTTAGGAAGACGTTTGACAGGTTTCAGCGTTACTTCTTCAGGCTTCTCCTCTTCTGGTTTCTCCAAACGCTTGACTGGTTTTAATTTAACTTCTGGTTTTTCTTCTTCTGGTTTCTCTTTCTTAATTGGTTTCAATTTTATTTCTTCCTTCTCTTCTTCTCCCTTAGGAAGTCGTTTCACTGGTTTTAGTATAACTTCCTCCGGTTTTTCCTCTTCTTCCTTTGGAAGACGTTTGACAGGTTTTAGCGTAACTTCTGGCTTCTCTTCTTCCGGTTTTTCTTTCTTAATTGGTTTCAATTTTACCTCTTCCTTTTCTTCTTCTTCCTTAGGAAGACGTTTGACAGGTTTCAGCGTTACTTCTTCAGGCTTTTCCTCTTCTGGTTTCTCCAAACGCTTGACTGGTTTTAATTTAACTTCTGGCTTCTCTTCTTCCGGTTTTTCTTTCTTAATTGGTTTCAATTTTACTTCTTCCTTTTCTTTCTCTTCCTTAGGAAGAAGTTTAACAGGTTTTAGCGTTACTTCTTCAGGTTTTTCCTCTTCTGGTTTCTCCGAACGCTTGATCGGTTTCAACTTAATTTCTGGTTTTTCTTCTTCTGGTTTTTCTTTTTTAATTGGCTTCAACTTTACTTCTTCCTTTTCTTCTTCTTCCTTAGGAAGTCGTTTCACTGGTTTTAGTGTAACTTCCTCTGGTTTCTCCTCTTCTTCCTTAGGAAGACGTTTAACAGGTTTTAGCGTAACTTCTGGCTTCTCTTCTTCCGGTTTTTCTTTCTTAATTGGTTTCAACTTTATTTCTTCCTTTTCTTTCTCTTCCTTAGGAAGAAGTTTAACAGGTTTTAGCGTTACTTCTTCGGGTTTTTCTTCTTCTTCCTTAGGAAGACGTTTGACAGGTTTCAATTTGATTTCCTGTTTCTCTTCCTCTGGCTTTTCTTTCTTAATTGGTTTTAACTTAACCTCTTCTTTCTCTTCTTCCTCCTTAGGAAGTCGTTTCACTGGTTTTAGTATAACTTCTTCTGGTTTCTCCTCTTCTTCTTTAGGAAGACGTTTGACAGGTTTCAGTTTAACTTCTGGTTTTTCTTCTTCTGGTTTTTCTTTTTTAATTGGTTTCAATTTTACCTCTTCTTTCTCTTCTTCTTCCTTAGGAAGTTGTTTGGCAGGTTTCAATGTTACCTCTTCTGGTTTTTCGTCTTCTTCCTTAGGAAGACGTTTGACAGGTTTCAGTTTGATTTCCTGTTGCTCTTCCTCTGGCTTTTCTTTCTTAATTGGCTTCAACTTTACTTCTTCTTTTTCTTCTTCTTCCTTAGGAAGTCGTTTTACTGGTTTTAGTATAACTTCCTCCGGCTTCTCCTCTTCTTCCTTAGGAAGACGTTTGACAGGTTTCAGTTTAACTTCTGGTTTTTCTTCTTCTGGTTTTTCTTTTGTAATTGGCTTCAACTTTATCTCTTGCTTTTCCTCTTCCTCCTTAGGAAGTCGTTTAACTGGTTTCAAAGTTACTTCTTCGGGTTTCTGTTCCTCTGGTCTTTCCAAACGTTTGCCAGGTTTCCATTTGACTTCTGGTTTTTCTTCCTCTTTGGGTTTCTCTTTCTCTTTTCGTCTGAAGACCAGCTCTCCTTCAGTTCGTTTTATGGTTTCTTCTTCTTTTTCTTCCTCAGGTTTGGCAGTTTCTTCTGGTTTAATCTCCTCTGGTGTTATTTTCTTAAGTGGTTTCTTACCACGTCGCCATGGCGTTCCAGTTGTCTCTTCTAAAATTTCACCATTCTCCACTGTTTTAGGTTTTTCCACTGGTTTTAGCGTTACTTCTTCAGGTGTTTCTTTCTCTTTGGGCATTTTCTGAATCGGTTTCAATGTCACCTCCTCCATCTCCACCTTCTCTTCCGGTTTCTTCTCCCTTCTCGTAGGTTTCAATACAACCGCAGAGAAGTCTTCAGTTTCAACATCTTTTATTTGCTTCTCAATTTTTTCTTTTCGAGGCTTGCGCCAGCCAACTTCAGACACTTCCTTCTCCTCTTCTTCAACTTTCTTTTCTTCGACAACCTTCTCTTCAACAGGTTTGTCTTTAACTCGTCGCCATGGCAATTCAGGCGCCTCTTCAGTTGGCTTTTCTTTTTCAGGAGCTCGAGTCACTTCTGGTTTCAGGGGTTTCACTTCCTTCTCTTCAACCTTTTCCTCCGGTTTCGGTTTCTCCACCGGCTTCAGTTTAATTTCTTCTGCAGTTTCTTCTTCCTTTGGAAAACGTTTAACCGGTTTCAGCGTGACTTCTTCTTTATCTTCTCGTTCTTCAGGTTTCTTGCCTCGTTTAACTGGTTTCAAAGCTACCGACTTGAAGTCCTCCATAGTCTCTTCTTCTTTCTTGATTACCGTTTCTTCTACAATCTTCTCTTTTTCAGCCACTTTTTCCTTCGGTTTCTCTCGTTCGAACGGTTTCAACTGCACCTTCTCCTCCTCTGGCGCTTTAGGTTTCGGTTTCTCAAATGGTCTCAGTTCTGGTTTCTCTCGTTCCTCCTGTTCTGGTTTCGCTTTCTGGAATGGCTTTAATTTGACCTCTTCCTTCGGTTTTTCCTCGGGTTTGCGTTTCGGAATGGGTTTTAGTTGCACGTCCTCCTTCTCTTCCTCTTCACGTGGAATGCGTTTGACAGGCTTCAGAGTCACTTCTTCTGGTTTCTCTTTTTCTTCCGGTGCACGTTCACGCCTGGCAGGCTTCAGTACAACCGATCGAATATCTTCAACCTGTTCTTCTTTCCTTTCCGGTATCTTTCGTGGAACCTTCTTGTCTCGAAGCCATGGGACCTTTTCTTCTTCTTGCTCTGGTTTCTCTTCAGGTCGAACATCCTGTGGAATCTCTGGCTTCTCTTCCTTTCGCTTCTTCCCTCGTACCCATGGTACCGGCACTTCTTCTTTCGCCTGTCTTTCTTCAGTCGTCTCCTCAGTCTTTGCTACGTCAAGAAGAGCGGTGTCCTCTTCTTCGTGGTACGGAATCGCTTCCGTAGGTTTCTTTTTACCTCTGGCCCAAGGAACCGGCACTTCCTTCGGTTTCTCCTCAGCCTCGACGTCTTTCTTTACGTCCAAAATCGTTTTATCCTCTTCTTCCTGATACGGCGCCTTTTCCTTCGGTTTTCTTTCTCTTCTCCAAGTTGCTACCTTTTCTTTCTTCTCTTCTTCGATCTTCTCTTCTTTGTCTAACTTCAGCAACTTCGTATCTTCTTCCTCCACGAATTGGGTCTTGTCTGTCACCTTTTGCAAGTCCACTTTCTCCAATGTTTCTTTCCTAATCTCCCTCTTCTCTGTTTTAGTCGGCTTCAGGGTCACTTCTTCGAGGCTTTCTCTACGAATTTCCTTTTGCTCAACCTTGGTCTTCTTCAAAATTACCTTCTCTTCGGTCCAAGGTTTAGGTTGTTCAACCTTCTCTACCGAAACCGACTCTTTCCTTGTTTTCTTCACTCGAGTGTCCTTGGTAACATCGAGCAACGTTGTATCTTCTTGTTCTACGTAGTCAGTTTTCTGTACCACGTCTTTCGCCATTTTCTCCGTAGTTTCTTTCGCAATAGATTTAAGATCCACCGTTTCCAGGCTCTCTTTTCGAATCTCAGATTTTACAGTCTTCGATGGTTTCAACTCCACTGTTTCTATCGTTTCCTTCTCAACCTCTTTCTTCACAGGTTTCGCTCTCTTCAACGTGACCTTCTCTTCGGTCCAAGGCTTCGGTCCTTCTGGCTTCTCTTCTATCTTTTCTTTCCTCAATTTCTTCACTTCTTCAGTCTTCGACACGTCTAATAAAGAAGTGTCTTCCTGTTCGAGGTATTCGGTCTTCTCGGTGATTTTCTCGGTGACTTTCTCGGTCACTGTCGTCGGAACAGGCTTCAAGTCCACCTTCTCCAAACTTGGTTTGCGCACTGGAAGCTTCTCTGTCTTCGATGGTTTCAGTTCCACAGTCTCTACAGTCTCTTTCTCAACTTCCTTCCTTAGAGGTTTCGACTTTTTCAACGTGATCTTCTCTTCCGTCCATGGTTTCGCTTGTTCCACCTTCTCCTCGATCTTCTCTCTTCTCAGTTTTCTAATCTCTTCGGTTCTAGACACGTCTAACATCGACGTGTCTTCCTCTTCAACGTACTCAGTCTTCGAAGTAGTTTCTTCCGTGACTCTTTCAGTAACGGTCGTAGGAACAGGTTTCAAGTCCACCTTCTCTAAACTTGGTTTTCGAACCGGAAGCTTCTCTGTCTTCGATGGTTTTAGTTCCACAGTCTCTACAGTCTCTTTCTCGACTTCCTTTCTTATAGGTTTTGACTTTTTCAACGTGATCTTCTCTTCCGTCCATGGTTTCGCTTGTTCCACCTTCTCCTCGATCTTCTCTCTTCTCAGTTTTCTAATCTCTTCGGTTCTAGACACGTCTAACATCGACGTGTCTTCCTGTTCAACGTACTCAGTCTTCGAAGTAGTTTCCTCCGTGACTGTTTCGATTACGGAACTCGTAGGAACCGATTTCAGATCCACCTTCTCCAAAGTAACCTTCTCGACTTCCTTCTTAACAATCCTCGAAGGTTTCAATTCCACGGGTTCTATCGTCTCCCTGGGGATCTCTCTTCTATCAGGTTTCGCTTTCTTCAGCGCAACCTTCTCTTCTGTCCAAGGTTTCGGCTCCTCCTTCTTCCTCGCGGTCTCGTCCACTTTCCTCGTGGTTTTGACGAATCTGGAGTCCTCTTCTTCCACGTAAGTCTCTGCCGTAGTTTCGTCCAGTCGAGAAACCTTCTCCTCGGTCGTCGACCCTTTCCTTGCTTCCTTCTTCGTAACGTGCTTCAAGTCCACAGTTTCCAAACTGACCTTTCCAATGTCTCTCTTCTCGATTCTCGCCGGTTTCAGTTCAACTTCCTCCAGTTTCTCTTTCGTTGTCTCTCGAGGTAGCTGCGGTGTTTTCTTCAACACTACAGCCTCCTCCGTCCAAGGCTTCACCAGCGACTCCGTCGCCTGTAATTTGTCCAGGGACGTGTCGCGAGATTTCGGTTTCGCTTTCCGCCATGGCGTCGCGTCACCGAGTCGAGGTCGATGATGAACTCGCCCCTTTCTCCAAGGCAACGACTCGTCCCCCGGTTGCAAGGGTATCTCGAGCGGCAATCCATTCTCGTCCGTGGTCAACGGCTCAAGGACAATGTCCTTGCCCAGACCTGTCGATGGTTTCACGCCGGTTTTCGCGCCTGGTCCCGTCTTCGCAGGCACTTCGTAATACGCCCCTTTCCTCTCTGCAATGGTACACGCGCGCACGGTGTAATTTTAATAATCTCGTTTCAGGGTGGCATCGTTGAGTCATCGTTCACACGGAAGGAAGGCTCCGCATCATGCTAAAAACAAGCTGGCAGCTGGACGATGCGCGCGGACGGTGAGTGGTAATAATATATTAGCGCATGCTGAATTATCCGCGGCTGTGGAATAGTTTATTTTTGGACTCGATTGCTTTGTTATTGTTGTTTAGTAGGTGTTTGACATTAGTAGAGTGGAATCCCATGTGTCTGAAATCTGTTCGTAAACAAATGGCTTACGTAGCGAGCGCGAACGCTTCGCGGAACACTTGATCAGTTCTATTTCTTTTGTTTTTTTTTCTTTGGTCGATTACTTCTGTTTACAAATATACGGATATACAATTTTAATATTAATAATATTAATATAATTAATATAATAATAATATTAATATTAATATAATTAATATAATAATAATATTAATATAATTTTATTATAATATTTTATATCTATATAATTATATTAATATTAATATAATATTAATATAATTAATATAATAATAATAATAATTTTATTATAATATATTTTATATTTATATAATTATATTAATATTAATATAATAATAATGTTAATAATATTAATATTATTAATATTATTATTATTATTAATATCAACAATATTAATATTAATATCAAAATATTACACGCTTCCACATTGAGTTTATTTATTGGAAGAGTTTCAATCCCAGGGTGCCAACAACATATCGTTATGCACTCGTTTGCTTTTTAATTTATGGAGTTAATCAGTGTGGCTCAATTTGACAGAAATCTACGAAATGTGGCTCAATCGATGAAAATTACGAAATGAAGAAGAATCTATGCTGTCAGAGCATAATAATTAACATGTTTTGTCATCGATAGTACCGACACTTGCTAAATTTTTTTATGAGTAATAAACTTGTTGCGCGGTTGATAATTTTTTTAGATTGCAAAATTTAGATAACGGATAACGTTGCGTGTAATACAATATATTGCAGCATTTTGCAAAAATCAAATTACGGTATAATAATATTTCAATGAAACGTGAAGATTCAGTCCAAACAATGAACTTGAAAATTCAGAAAACTCTTATACCGTAAAAATCATTCAATGTTAAAATATTCATTCTTTTTACAATTTATTACACTCAATTAAATAGGATTAAATTATTATATTGAATTACGACTTAATACAACCTTTATCGTACGAGGATATAACTTCGTGTATTAAAAGTAAAATAATATATTAAATAATACGTTCGTATATTAGAAACAAAATAATATCAAGAGAATGATGCATACTAATATAAACCTATTGATCTATGTCCATTTACATAAGACGAATTTCATGAAATTTAATATACATTGTACTCGTTGTTCATATTCGAAGTATTCGACATTCAAGGAAACAAAAGTATCATACACAAGTGGGTATATTTAAATTTAAAACACGCGCGAGACGAATATTCCCCAAATTTCAACCGACAGCTGTCAAAATCCGATACTCCTTTACGTTCCAAGTTCAAATGAAGCACAATCGCCCGTCTGCAGAAGTTGAAACAAGCCCGAAGTGATTTATCCCCGGCCATCTGATCGTTCGTTGTGTCTCGATTTCACGAACAATGTCGTCATTTGTGTGTCAGGCCTGAGTAACGTGCCAAGGGATATTTTTAATAATTACTCGCGACTGTGACAAACAACGGACAGAGAGAAATTTGGTGTCTGATCGTGGGAAAAACATAGGGAACGAACGACATCCTGTTTCAACACAATTTCGATTGCTAATAATAATATAAATATAAATAATAATAATGCAAACAATGATCAAAGGCTTTTCGGTTATAAAATACGCGATAAATCAAACCGTCCAATTAATCAACGCGTGACACGTTCACGACAATATCCGTCGGCCTTATAAATTTTCCCTTCGGGGGGGGGGGGGGGGACTCAAACGAGTGTAAATGCACTTGAAAATTTATATTTCGCAATTTTGGATGGACGGCCGGTGGAGCCGGGCCAAAGTCGACCTCGCCGAGGAGAAATCAAGGCAGATCGCCAGGCGGATCGGCCTTCGGAAACCAAAGTTATTCGGATTGTTAATATTCGGACGTGAAATAATAATCGCGATGAAGCACGATTCATTTTAAAAATAAATCACACCTGATCCAGGCGTGTAAACGTCGGGCTGCATTTTACGTAACCGCGATTTATCGTTGTTCCCTTCCGATCCAATGTAAATTCCCTTCGAAATTGTTATCGCGTTGCTTGCGTTTTCTACGATTTTCTTTCCTCTTTCTTTTTCTTCTTTTTCTTTTTTTTTCTTTTTTTTTTTTTAAAGCGTGAGGTAACGCCCGACTTTTATTCTCGAACGTTGGAACGCCTCCCGCGGTGGCGGTCGCTTGCCTCTGATCTCTTTTTTTCATTCTCGGCGGGAGGCTTCGAGCGTAATATCAACGAAAGCGTGGAACACGCTCGACTTAAACTTCGCGCGACTTTATTTTTAAACGTGACGAGAAACAGACGAATTCGTCATCGGTCAGCCAGAGGATCTGAAGCGAAACTTTTCCGCGGTGTTGGTGTTTCGTTCTTTTTTTTCCTCGCTGGTATTTTTAAATCGTTTCAGTTGATCGCGAACCTCACGCGATATGAATCAAGACGGAGCGGAGTGAAAATGAGTTCTTTTGTCGAGCGGATTAGTCATAACAAACGTGACTGCAGCTCTATGAGCTTCTATTCGACAGAGTTAAACGGTGAAAATAATTCTAAAAATACTGATAGACGCGAAAAGTGTGATATAAATAGAAGTTACAAGTTAATTTATAATTTATGCAATTTCATCGATTTGTCGATATCTGTCCAAGTCCTTATCATGAAATTTTTCTTTCATTAAATTTTATTCGAAACTGGAATGTTAAGTGAGATTTCTCGAACTTTAAATCAAAGCCAAATCCATAATAAGTTATTGAATGTTTAAAGAATACAAATAGAAAGTTAAACTTTTAAACTTCAATTATTATCATTTAATCTCGGTAGTTTTAATATTCAACAATGTTCTGTCAATGAATCCCCCGTTTCACATTCTCGGGCCATCGTTTCAAACATCCGTTCACCATCAATTTAACCCTAATCTGTTCGTCATTTTCCCAATTGTCATCGACATTTACAACAGTTATAATACTTTCAACAGTTCTCTTCATTATATAGTAATAACAGAGTCTACGTGTAATAATAATAACAACACTTGTAAATATATTTCCTCTATAAACATAAAAATTTACTGGTTATTGCTGTCTACGCGAATATGAAAAATAATACACCGTATTAGCATTCAAATTGAATGTCAAAGAAATTTCTTTCATCGGAAGATATCTGTCTTGAAAAACGAGACTCTATAAATCTTTTCCATCGTGCCAACCAAACATCATCCTCGTCGTCTCTGTCTTCTGCGATGGTAGACACGGTTGCTCGCATGGCGGGCAAGTTGCAACGCGGAAGCTCCTCGTTTAGCATTCCAAGCTCGCTAATAACCTGGCTACGGCGGGTCATTATTCTAGGGAAGAAGGAGGTGACGGAGACGGCGGTCGCACGCACAATTTCCCACTTGAAATGAAAAAGCTGAGCACGACCGGTCGTAGAGGGGGCAACGGTGATGCATGCATCTCGGGCACTTTCAGCAATGTCAGATGCCGAGCGAATCGTGGTGGGGAAACTCGTGGCCTGACGCCACTACGCACACCTCTACCCCAAGCTTCTAGTCTAGCCTTAATAGTCATCCACTGGAAGCCGGAGACGATCAAGCCGGGACGAAACCTCTTTCTCTGGATACCGATCATCCACACAGCGATCTACCCTTTTTATTTTTTCTTCTTCTTTCTTTTCTTTTCGGTGTCACGAGACAGGTGACATTCAAGTGGTGTTCAAGTGGGCAGTGAAACGTGATTTTGTGACCAAGTTTCAATTGATCGATCGGTGATTGAACGTGGTGGTTGACAGTTGGCTGCCTTCGATCGGGCTGCATCGGTTTGCTTTTTCAACAACCGCCGGACAATCGCTGGTCCGATCGAAGTGCAGCCGCGCTTGAACTGGACACGTTTGACTCTTCAACGAGGTTGAACGTCGCGAAGGTGGTGCGATATTTTGTTTCTTTCTTTGCGAACGAATTCACGTGGCGCTGAACGATGCAAGTGATATTCGGTGCGGTTGGTGCGTACAATCGTGGTGCTCGGTCGAAGTGACAGACTCGCCGGTGGGAATACACGGAGAGTTCGTCGTTTGCTCGTTTTTCTTCGTTGTTTTTTTTTTTTTTTTTTACAGCAAGTCGTCGATGCGTTGTTTTTGGATTTATTGGATTTCTAATGAATTATTCATGAGTTTTGTTTCTATGACAGATTCATCTCCCGCGGACTTTGGGTGGCTCGTGTTTCTATTTTCGAGGTACGAGACTCGTGCACCAGGATAAAAATGAACGTGAATCTTCTCATCTTTTTTTTTTCTTTTTTTTTCTTTTTGTTTTTAGGAGCATGATTCACCCACGATGAGCAAGAACAAAGCGTTGTTTATAGTGTCGAGTCTCGTCCCTCGGGTACATATGCGAGTGGATGCAGTGACACACACTGAGATCTAATGGGTGACACACAAAAATTTATTCGATGAATCACGAACGATTGGAATGGTCATGTACAAAAATAAAAATAAAATCAACGTTCAGCGAGACGTGGTTGTCCCTGACCTTCTTCTTTCCCTCGCTCACGCTAATTCATCCGATTTCGTTTCTTTCTTCCCTCCCCCCCCCCTCTGCCTCTCGCTTTTTGATAATTCGAGTTTGTCAAACCTTGTCTCTATCGCAATGCAACAATGTAATTACTTCAATATTAGTTTAGTATCGTTCGGTGATCGCAATATTACAAAAGAAGATCGCAGTTGTAAATTATATATTTTTATGTCTGTCGTATTGAATAAACGAATACAAGTTTAAGCCGATTAACAGGATCTTACAGTTGTTTCGGTTTCAAATCGAATTGTTATTTTATATTCTTTGTTTCACACGCCGATCAATGAGACTTTACAATCAACAATAGCAATCACAAAATGTTGTTGTTATAAAAAAATTTCATATTCTTCGAATCAATAAAAGAAAACGTACAAAATATGGAAGAATATATAAAACAAATACTCTTCGTATAATTCAGACGTCATCTCTATTTAAACTTCAAAAAGAAAAAAAAAAAAAAAAAAAAGAAACCTTCTCGCCTCTTCTCTCTTACTTATTGTTCAGAAAACAGACGTCATTAGACGTCTCAGTTTCTCAATCATTTGGTTGGAACGTAATCCAACTAGCTATCGCCAGAGAGATCGCAGTTTCGAAACTCGGTGTTCGAAACTTGGAAGCCGAACAGTTGAAGCGTCGCAGAGTCCGTTTCCGCTCGCCTCGCGAAGCGAGAGGAAGCCGAGAGACGATCTTCTTTCGGTTGGATCTCGGGTTTTTCGACACCTCCCGCGTCGAGTCTGCACACGATCTCCGGCCACGAGCGGCTGCGGATTTACCAGAAATAATTCCTTCCCGCCTTCCAGAGTGCGCTGACACGCGCTCGCTCTCCCCCGTATTATTTCTAGCGGGGCTGAATCACCGGGGCAGCTGCGATCGAGCCGAAATAGTCGGGTTTCGTCCTCCCTCCTTCGAAGCTTGGCACGACGGACGAGAAATGGCTGCTGTTTCGGTTGGGGGGGGGGTGAAGAGGAGGGGGTGGTTGAGATGTCAGGCCGCGGAAAAGAAGAGACGAACGCACGCGGAGGATGAATCAGCGCGCGGTTTCTTTCTTTCTTTTTTTTTCCTCCTTCGTGTCCACCGATGTAGACTGGCTGTTGGCAGTTGTCTTCTTGGTGCTTCAGGTGGTCGCTGATTCAAGGTCGTTGCCAGGCGAACAGAAGTAGCCGAAGCCTGAAGATGTTTCTTCTTCTGGAAGGATCTTCGAAGGGTCGTAGACGTGATGCGTGTCTCGTTGTTTGGTTGGAGTTTCATTTTTTTTTAAATTTTAGGACAGTATAGCCGGGGACTTGTAAACGAGGCACTCGTTATTTCACATATTTCTCAGAAATTTCTCTGGAAGATTTTTCCGTAGGAAAATCAGGAGGGCCACAAACTCTGTCTGAAGCATTATTTAGAGGTTAAGCAAATGAAGTGATGTTTTTCGATATTCTTACGTAAATTTGAGCTCATTTGAAGATGCTGTTTTAACCTTCCAATATTTTGTCGTAGCCCTCGACTTGTTCAAAGTAATTGCCAGATTATAACAAATGCTCCGTTTCAATATAAACATTGGATATATAATTTACTATAATTATTGAATTTAATTATCGTATAAACATATTATAATTTTCGTCACTGACAAATACAATTCCCCAGTGTAGCATCGGGCAGGATTATACAGGTCATGGGGCAAGGTTAAGAAATTCCTGAGAACAGGGTACAGAGAACAGAAAACGGGATTTTACAATCGTCGCTCGATCTTCGTCCTCATTTCCCGTGGACACGCATGTTATTTCGGCATCTCGAAATCATTAGTTCGGGCAACCGTAATTACCTCCCGCGAAATGGTTTAATAGCTGTGATCTCATAGCAGGAGCGTACGCACGCTTGAAATAAATCCGCGGCGCGGTACGGTGATAAATTTTCTTGGTCCTTACCCAGCTCTAGAATCTAACGCGAACCTTATTTATGGTCGACGGTTAACGTGCCAGCTTCGTGTTTTTCTTTCCTTTTTTCTTTTTTTTTTTTTTCCGCACGTCCTTTCACCTCAATACTGTTTCACGACTGTGCCCGTTGCTCATTGTCTTTGGCCAATTAAAATTTCTCAGAGACTCGGCGACGACACGCGATACCGTTTGATCGATGAAAACGTTACGGCCTGTCGTATATTTCACGCGTCGCGCGTTGGCCAACGTAACGAGTGATTTAATTATTAGAGATGGGATCGAGCAGGTTCGAATCTTTGATCGTTGGATTTTATAAGTATTTCCAAGCGTGTTCGAGTCAACACGGGATAGTTTTCAATGCCATTGGTAAGATAAAAGTGAGGTCGAACATCTAGAGAAAGTTTCGAAACTTTCAACCCTCTCAGTCAGTAAATTATTTTAACAGTATCAAATTTCACAATTACGCAAACCAAATCGTCAGTCGTTTAAAATTATTACAAAACCTACCTAATTATTATTATTAATGTAATTTCAATCTACAACTTGCTCATATAAAATGAACATGTTCACTGTGACTAATATTTAAAGCTGTAAAAATTATTACGAAATTATTATTATTAATGTAATTTACATCTGTAACTTGCTCATATAAATTGTTCCAAATATACTTTTTCACTTTCAAGTGTTGCGGTCGAAACCCAAGTATCGAAACGAAACTCAAGTATCAAACTTAACTCGTGTAAAATGTATACATGGAACTTGAACTGCGATAAAATGTGTGAAAATTTGTTCGTATAAATTAAATACACCTCGTAGAATATACCGATGATCGAAAATTTTGCATACCACTTGTGAAATCTCTTTCTTTTCAAATACTTCGCAGCGATGTTCGAAGAGCCAATAAAACGAAACTCACAATCAGATCGAACTTGACTCCGATTCCTAAGCAGTGTATTGGACTTGATCCCATCCCTATTAATCACGATGATCCGTCTCGGACCAACTACCCTTCGCGCGATTAATCAAACGGCCTGCACGACGAAACAGGTCCAGATTCACGGTCTAATTTTGCATCAGGTCGCCGGATCGTAACGGTGTCGAGCGAGGACCGGTCAAGTAACATGACGATGATCCACCTGGCGAGAGTTAAAACGCGGCTGGAGAACGCCTGGAGAACACGAGAACCTCGCCGTTCCGTACAACGAAGCATCGAGCGCTCGGCGCGACGCGGCTGGCATGCAGAAAATGAAAAAAAAAAAAAAGGAAAAGAGAAAAAGAAAAATGACGGAGAAAAACTCCTTTGTTTCCGGTCACGGTGTTGCACAAATTACTATGTGCGTCTGTTCTAGTTTCTAAGCGCAACTTAAAGAACTCGCGGGGAGATGATTGTTCTTGGTGCTGCGGTAATTGTTGCAGATGGTTGATGTTTCATGGTCTGAATGTATTTTACGGTTCTTGGATTATATCAGTGGACTTTTGTGTTGTTTCGTTGCGTTTCAATTGTATGAATTATCATGGCGGGATGTCCAAAGTTTATAATTAAAGTGTGCTTTTAATAGTGACGTGTCTTTCTTCTTGTAAAGGAGTTGAGGTTTTTATGAATTTGTTGTATTCGATGTATTGTTTAACGTTTAATATTTTAATAAGGTGAGAGAGGTATATTATAGGTGGAAAAAATTTTGTATGTCTTTCGAAGATGTCCTTTGTAAGTTAGCAGTGAGCTAGATATTTAATAAATTATGGCCCTTCTTCATTCTCCATTTCCCCATTTAAAGTGTTTCCCATTTCAGTCGAATTTCTTGAACGTGTTGTATTCTTTTAATTAATTTAACACGTTCGCTAGGAATTATGTTTCTCTATTGCAAAACATCGAGAAAGGAGGAATGTCTTCCAATAGTTTTATCAATGAATTTAATTTAATTTCGTACTTAAATTTCGGAAGAGAACAGAATAATTTTTATAAACTTCTCAATTGTAAATACATCAACGTCCATAGAATCCTTAAAAATAGACATTCCATATTTTTAGCCTAACTCTCCATTTCAGTTTCGCACTAAATAATTTTGAAAATTTCTCAAAAGATTCAGATGTTTCATTTTCAATTTGCATTCCCCTAATCTTCGACTTTTAATTTTCCACTGAAGCAACGCCTCGACAAAGAATTCAAGACTCGCAGCGAACGTGATAAATAAAACTCAATAGCATCAACCAAAATTATAGTTTCTCGGTGATAACGTACGATACTCGTCAAAGTAAATTCCTCGAGGGCAAATTAACTTCTTCGGACAAAACGAAGAGACGAAAATTTCCTTCTGCGTTCGCGAAATAAATAAAATCGCGTGAGTCCAACTCGCGAAGACGACGGATTCTAGACCCCACGTGAATTTTACCGTATGTTCGGGGAGTTCTTCACCGGCGACCAAATATAGCCGGGTAATGTAATACACGTCACGTGGTCAGAAATAGCCTAAGAAGAGGGCCTAGCCGAGTGTGCACACGGCACTGCTCGCCTGTGGTACCGACGTCCCTCGTTTTGTAACGAGCCGGACTACCAGAAGCGATGAAGAAAATACGTTTACCTCTTCACGCTCGTTAAACCAGTTACCAGAGAGAAAGGTGATACCGAGGGAACAGAAACGCGGATCGTAAAACACGGGTACACGCGTACGCGTGGAAAAGCTCGCGTCGACGAACTTCGGTCCCGCGCGACTTCGAATTTTTCACAGCTGTTTCACTCGACTTTTAACGCTGGAACTACCAAAATGGTCAAAACGCTCAATCGATCGTTTTTTTTTTTTTTTTTTTTTTTTTTCAAAAAATTTTTTTTTTTTTTTTTTTTTTTTTTCAGAAAGATTTTCTGTAATTTTCTGTGGATTTAGAATAGAGTTTGTACTCTATTTTGTTGTAAGATATACTAGAACAATGAGGAATTAATAATTACTCGGAAAAATTATCTGGACTAGAGTAATGGATTTGGATGATTTTTAAAGATTTTACGATGGTATATTTTTTTTTTATTTAATCGAAGAATCAGTAATTATTTGGAGACATCGCCCGAGATAAAATGATGATTTGATTCAAAGTGTATTTGAAATTTTATCTAATTAAATAATAAATAACAGCCTTGCATAATTTTATAAATTTGTAACAGTGCCTAAGTAGAGATTTCTTCATCTTCGTGCATTCATTTTATAATTCAAGTTTCATACTCTAAGCGTTGGTAGTTCTAGCGTTAATATCGAATAAGGATAGAATATTTACTACTTTATCCTAATTGGAGATCGATACGACAAGTTATCAAAGTATATTATTATTAATATAGCAATTTGTTTTCACTGAAACAGTTAAATTTGTTCTCTTGGTAAAATGATCGAAGCGTTCTTAGATTATGAGATTTTATTGTTCTTTTCAATAAAAGAAAGCGAATTTCAGAATTTAAGCTGTTAATTCGAATTTCGAGTTCAAACGAAAACTGGAAAAAGCAGTTACGTCATCGCTCAAAAAATTAAAATAAATCGATGATATACTTATAGTGAATACAGGTTAAACCGAGATAAAGAAAAGAAAAAAAAGATCGGTATTACCGATCCGAAGTCGGTTTCAACAGTAAAAACTGGTCGTCGTTAAATCAACGATATTTTACTAAATATGCAGATGTTTTGGACAAAACAAGTTCGTGATATTATGCCATCCTTTCGTATCATGTAAGAGTGCCATTTTCATTCAAACAAAGAACACACGACAACGTGTTTACTTTTTAAGAAACACACTAATAAAATAATATAAACATTTCTCAACCATCTTGTCGTAGAAAAAAGTATAATTGCCACTAAATTTGCAACATATGTACATCACTTCCATTTTATTTCAACGAAAATGGTCCTTCCTCAGATTGTGACAAAGATTTTCATAAACGATCTACGTCCACCTACTAAATTCGTATTGTTTTAACGTTCCAATCTCTAATTCATACGTATGTTTGTATCTGTTTCTCACACACGCTTCGTAGCGTGGATATATCTCTAATTCTAGAGCAACCTAAAACTTCCGAGAAACCACGGAATAGCCAAAACTCCGTTATACCACGGACGTTTCCACTGCTGAACGCCGTTTTTGCTTTCGTTCCCGTCGTCAAATATAGCCGTGCATCTGGACTCGGGCTTTCGAGTAAAGTAGCAAACACTTCGCCGCCCCGAGTTTCCTTCCCGTTATTTTAGCCGCGATTATATCTGCCAAGTGTTGCAGCGTGGAATCGCTCGTTAACCGGCTCGCGACGACTCGATTGTCCGATCGATCGTCACGCTGATTAAGAACCGCGCGCGGACTATTTTCTGCCTCGCCTTGTCCTCCACGATTTCCCTCAAACATGTCCGACGAAGAATCTTCCCGATTTTCCGTGCTGGCCAATTGTTTTACGAGCCGTGATTCATACCGCGTTTCCCACCGGATTGGTACACTGGCGTTTCGTAAGCAAAACTCGCGGACGAATTTATGGCGCTGGGAGAACGTGGCGCTGGCAATTACGTCGCCGAGTGCAAAAGTCAATTTACATTCGCCACCCCGGTCTATATTCGTCCGCTGTTTGGCGGATTCCGGTCGAAGATCTCCCCGCCCCTAATGGGAGATTTTTCCTTTATTTCTGAACCCGTCATGGGAAATTCCTCGTCGTAGGTTAAAATATCCCCTTGAAAGGGTTTCCTTTTGCTCGATCGTGAGATCCTTCAGAGCACGATTCTTAACCTTTTGTGCTGGAATGAATGCGCTGGTTTTTTGTCCCCAAATTGCAACGTTTCCTCAGTTTTAAGTATATTTAAATGTAAATACGGGCAAAACAAATGATAGGTTTGATACTTCTTAATAATTTCTATCCAGTAATGTCATACCGACTATCAAAAGAAAAAAGAAAGCGACGAATTATTGTACACGGCTCGGTCACTCGTTATGGCCCGCGAACCAGTTGCCAGCGCAAGGGGTTGAAACGCGATGTTCCAAACCACGATTTTTCACGGTTGAGTGACTCTCTCAGTACTAACTCAGTAAAGAAGATTTCGTTTCAAGTATTTAACATACTCTAAACGATCGCGTTATCGCCTTTCATTGAAATTGGCGATTTGAGGAGATATGGTTGTCGCAGATCTCTCTTCGTGTTTCAGGGAACGTCGAATCCTACTCTTTCAATTCACGTTTCTCCATTTTACAACATTTTACACGAACGAGTATCGGATGACACTCATCCTTTCTCCATCGCACAAATAGATTCGATAATGAATTTCGAGATGCCGTGTGTATAACATGATCGGTTTAGAATGACGTGAATCCGTCATCGAATCGGCAACAAACCAGGCTTTTGCGCATTTAAAATATTCGTTTTTATTGGCCTTTCCATTGTACAATAATAAATAAGTTCGATTAGTAGAATGTTAAAGGATAAATCATCGTCTGCGTGTGACTATATAAACTTCATTCACGTCGGTGTTGACTAACTAAATAAATCATTTCTAACGTGTGTAATGCATCGTGTGGTTAACGTGTACATTTATATATATATTTTTTATTTTTAATAATGAACATTGACACTAAATCGAACGAGTAAACGAGTTATGTGTCCGTATTTTCGAAATGAAAGTATCTCTCACTCTCTTTCTCTCACTCTCTCTCTCTCTCTCTCTCTCTCTCTCTTTTTCTCTGCCATTCATTGATTTGGTCGCTCGGCATGTCGTTCGATCTCACTGTGATCGAGCTCTATGTTTTATAATAACGCGGAAGCAAAAGGAGACTCGGCAACGTTCTCAAAATTTCATCGATCCGAAGCACCACTACCTCGGCACATTTTTTTTTTTTTGGCTTTCTCTCTTTCTCTTGGATTCGACGCTGATAAGACGCTCGTAGACGTGTCTCGCTCGCGAATCGCACCTTTCGTTCGGGTAAAGAAAGAAAGTCGGCTACGTTTGTCTTGTCGGTCGAATCTTCGAATCCTCGGTCTCCGCCTTATACGAGTTCAACTCTACAAAAACGTTTCCACGATTCCAAATTAAGTTAATTCCACCGTTCAATTTTTTCAGCACCACCTTCGCGACATTTGTCATCTTTCAACTCATTGCAACTCCCTCTTCATCGATTCTTACTCATTTCTTTTACCCTCGTGTGTTTGCCATTCCGATCATTATCAACCTCTGATTATTTCATTTCTTGTATTGTATGCACAGGTATGCGTATATATATATATATTTGTTCTGTTTTTTTTTTTTTTTTTTTTTTAAATTCAAGCAACACATACAAATCGGAAACTTGTCGTTCTACGTCTCCGTAATTTATGTCACTTTCCTCGTTTCACTCGCTCGTCCACTATGATCTTTTTTTTTTCTATTTTTTAACTTTTTTGGAAAAAAGAGAAAAAAAAAACAAAAAGAAAAACACGACGAGTTAGTAACAAAAAGAAAAAAAAAAACTCCCCGGGCTCGCTCGTGACTTTGATTACGGGGTCGGGAAACAAGGGGTTGAACAGTGGTAACGGTTCGCTTGGTGAGTTAGGGTTTCTTCTTCTTTTTTTTTTTTAATTTTTTCTTTTCTTTTCTTTTTTAGAGAGAAAAACAACAAAAAAAGCGGAAAAAAAAATAAAAATACGCACGGGTATATCCTCGATGGTTCGCGTTCGACGGAGGAACGCGTGCTTTTGAGACAATTTTAATAACAACGTTCGATCACTCGTATCATACTTGTTGATCCTCTTAATTAATCTACGTTCATTCTTTTTTTTTTTTTCTCATTACCAAGTATGATAGAATATTGTGTAATGAAGCTCATTAAAGCGACAAGTGTTTTCTTCTTTCAAATGTTTTTAATTCATTTCAAATATATTTAAATTCTTTTCTGCGCAAGTGAGAAATTGTTTCAAATACGCGCGCGTTTCTCCGTCACGCACCCAGAGGCTTATCCCGTCGATTCAATCGCGTTTCGTGTTAGCAATTGAATTTGTATCTTTTATTCAGTTCTTACTTTTGACGATGAGCTTGGCGGAGGTTTCGACGGTGCCGGCCGACGTGGTAGCTCGGCAGGTGAAGGTGCCAGTGTCCTCTTCGTAGGTGGTCGCTATCAGTAGCACGGCATTATTACTTTCGTGAATCATCTGGAATTCAGACATTTCCATTTCCAATTAGTTTAGCCACGATAGAAGATCTGAAATCCTCCTAGGAAAATATCTAGTTGAAGATTCAGGAAAACTTAATCCCTTCAGAATTCTAACTAGAACTATCAAGGACTATACCATAGAATTTCCATCACAGATGTTGAAGTAAACAAAAAAAAAAAAAAAAAATAGACAATAAAATATACAGGCTTTTATTTATGTATTTATGTATTATTATCATTATTTATTATATTATTATATTTATTATAATTATTATATATTATTATTTGTTATATTATAATAAATAATGATAATAATATTAATAATATTATATATTATTGTTATTTATGTCTATTATGTATTATTATTTATATATTATTTATTATATATTATTTATATATATATTATTTATTATATTATTTATATATTATTTATATATCATTATTTATTATATATTATATATTATTATATTTATCATATATTATATATTATTATATTTATTATATATTATAATTATTATATATTATTATTATTTATGTATATTATGTAGGCTTTTATTTTTATAAAAAAAATTTTTAAAAATACTGTTTTACATCTATATAATATATCCAACAGAAATCATGAATTAGTCATTTCGGTCGTTCTAGTTGCTGGTGGCTGAAGCGTAAAGTTTGTCGTCAGAGAAATTGAAATGCAACGAAGAGCACAAGCAAACGATTAATCGCGAAGTTCAATTTCGTTCGTACTGCGAATGAATATTGTATTGTATCATTTAGCGAAATTAAATTTTTGAGATCTTCTTCAAAAATTTATTTACTGTCAGACGAAGTTTGATTTTTTTCTCTCATTCGTTTCGGATAATAATAATTCTTCTAACAATTTTCTCATGCGTTCTATTCCTCGATCCCAACAGATGTGTCGCTGGTTAAAATAAATATATCGCAATAATGTTTTGAACAAACATGGATGTCACACGATACTGCAAATAAAAATTCCGAGCTCGACTTACCTGGAAATCAGGTGACTGAGGGATCAGGGCACCTTCGCGATACCATTGGATCGTTGGCTTTGGTTTAGCTGGAGTAACTTGGGTCTTGAACTGTGCCGGTTGCCCTTCCAGGACTATTTGATCTTTCAGTGGTGTCAATTTGGGGAGAACGTCAGCTGCGTCGGGGGCTAGACGAACATTATCGTTTAATCATATCAAGAGACAAAAGGGAATTTCAGGTTGGCGAGAAACAACGACTCTTACCAAGAACTTTAAGATTGGCTGAGGTAGTTACATCGCCGGCTGGATTCTTGGCGATGCATTTGTAAACGCCCTCGTCTTCGGGGAAAGCTTCGGAGATCCTCAGGGTACAGAGGTCGCCTTCCTTTTGCATTTGGAAGTACTTAGATGGCTTGATGACCTGCGATCACAAATAAACTTCATCTGACGCGAATGTCTTTTAAAAACAATTTTGAGTAAAATCTTTCTCACTAAGATTAAAATCAAATAGAGATTGATGAATTATTTGCACAATGTTATTTATCTTAAATTATCAAAAAAAAAAAAAAAAAAAGGAATGATCTGTTTCCAATTGTTCCAAGAAGATGGTGCAATCGATCATGAATTTCTATATATTAATTTCAAAAAAAGTTCATGGAGCTGATGGATGTTGCTAAAGCTCGAGTATTTGGGCAGTATTTCATCTTGTTGTCTCGTTCCTTGATATTTCAAAAAAGCAATTTATGTATTTACAGTTTTTGGAATGTCGTTCGTACCTTGTCGCCTTTCTTCCATTGTACCGTTGGCACCGGTTTCCCGGTGATTCTGCACGCGAAGGCGACGGATGTTCCCTCCCTGATAGTTTGATCTCTTAACGGCTCCAAAACCGTGGGTGCCTTCTCGACGCCTGGCGTCGTCGGTTTCGCCGTCTTGGCGGGCGATTGAGGTCCTCGAACCGTACATTCAGCATCGCAACGTGCCTCTCCGGCGCTGTTTATCGCGACGCACTCGTACTTGCCCGAATCTTCTGGCACTGTCTCCAAAATCAACAAAGTGTAGGTGTTGTCTTCCTCGAGCGTCTTGTAACGAATGTCCGCCGTCACCTTCTTGCCATTCTGCAACCATGAACGAACACACGCGGTTAATTTAACCGGCGAAATCAGATAGAACATATTTTGAAATTTCTTTAATTCTAATCTTTAGAAAATTTAATTATTCTTGGTTAATTTTATCGGTAAAGCAAAAGTAGTAATGATCTTTAAAGTGAAATCTGCCCTGTCTCAGTTTATCTCTAAGAAGTTACTGAAAATTGTGATTATCCAATCTGTTGAATCGTTCTTTCATTTTCAGTACTGTCACAACACATATCAACGTCTGTAGCTTTTTTTAATTCTCTACATACTACTTTATTCTACGAATAAAACATTAAACTACAAAATTATAATATGCCGACAATTACAGCGAATAATTTTAATCGATACAAAAATATCCAAAAAAAAAAAAAAAAAGAAATCGAAATTAATTTAATCGAGGAAAAATGTAGTACCTTCAACCAGTAAACATCCAGCGGTTTGGTGCCAGTCACTTTGGCGTCGAATCTAGCAAGTTGGCCGGTGGTGACCGAGGTGTTCTGAATGGTTGACAGGAAGCTAGGTGGTACCACTCCTCCTCGACCAGGTTGTCGTCTACGTTCCTCCACCACCAAGTTCGCGCTGCACTTCGCCTTTCCGGCGCGATTCTCAGCGATGACAGAGAACACTCCAGAATCCTCCATGAACACTTGCCGAACGATCAGCACCGATTTCGTGCTGAACGTATAAATCTGAAGGTCCGGTGAGTTTTGAATGGGGAAATCTTCGCGATACCACTTGATGGTCGGCAATGGATCGCCGTCGAATTCCACCTCGAACCGCGCTTGCTCTTGCTCGAACGCTCTGCAGGGTTGAATTTTTTTCGTGAAGACCGGCGGCTTGGCCGGTTTCATCGGACCTTGGACGACGCGCTCTTGAGTCTTGGCTTTGTGCTCCACTTCAGTGGTCTCCGTGGCGGTTATCTTCCTGGTGATCTCCACGTCTCCTTTCACCTCTTTCTGCGTTTGCTTCTGCTTGGCCACGTGCACCTCACGTCCGTGAACCATGGACTCGGACGGTTCCGGAGGATACTTCCCTGTGGCCTTCGTTCGCTCCACGTCGATGTCCACTTCCGTCGTGTGTGGCTTCCTCACGAATTTCGTAGCTGTCTGCGTGGTCTCCTGGTCTTTCTCTTCCTTCTTTTCCTCCCTGAACATTTGTAATTTTTTGTGTTTTATTATTTTCTCTCTCTCTCTTTTTTTTTTATTGGGGACTTTATTCAGATTTTCAATCCGTGAGTTGGCGCTCTTGACAGCTGGAGTGTCGAAATGTGTTTTGGAAGATTGATAAAATTATTTTCAGTTCCTTTCCACGGAAAGTGTTTTTAAGAATATTAATTTCACCATCGTGAAATATCGTCTTTAACACGATTTCAAATTTCTAACATTGCTTTGGATTCACTTCTATGGTTTTAATTAAATGAATTTAATAAAAAGAGATTACTATAGAATTCTGAAATATTGAACATTGCATATTCCGACAGTTTTAGAAATATTAAAATTATTCATTTAATATTTAGAGCATTGATAAATATAATTTTAATTAATAAAATTGTATAAATAAGCACATTTATATATTACATGAAAATTATACAACGAATCTCAATATTCATTTACATGACATTTGTAAGATAATAAAAATAAGAAAGGAACTTGAAACCCATCTAAGAACTCTCGATTATACAACACGTGTAGACAAAAATAAAATACTTACAAGTTTTCCTCATACTGTTGAGCCATCCCTTTCGCAACGGAATGAGAAACGACCTTTTCACCGGGAATAGCAAATTGATGGCTAGCTTCCCTCAGCCTACTCTCCTTGAGGACCTGTTCTTCCTCGAGATTCATCAGCTTGCTGTAATAGTCCTCGTTCTTCTTGCTCTTCACAGACCTCTGCCAGTCTGTCTCCGGTTCCTTGAAAACCTTCTGTCCAAGATGCTCCGTGGCGATTTCAATGCCCTGGGCAATGTTGTGGTGTCTCTCGTCGAACACTTTCTCGAGCTCTGTGTTCTGTCGCTCCGTTTGGTATTGGGTCAGCCCGTAATCATACCAAGCTAGAGGAAAGCAACGTTAGACTTCCGTTTCTCCAATTCACGCGCAACCGATAACGCATGCGATACGAACGTTGGAAACATTCAGTTCTTTTTTTTTTCTTTCTTTCCTTCTTTCGTTGGAAATACAACGTTCTTCCGATGATCTGTCGTATTTTGAAAAATATTGAAAATGAATAGTAGATGGTAACTGAAGATGGCGAGAAGTCAAACTGTACATTTTAGTGGAAAAAGAATTAGAATTTTCGAAAAAATAAAATTGAAAGAGAGACGAAATTGGCAATATTCTTAAGAGATTTTAGAGAAAAATAACGTAACAATTCTAAAATATAAATCTACTTTATAACAACAACGCTACTGAAATTATTTAAATGATTTCGACAACTTTTATACTTAATTATCCCTGAGGAAATCAAATTTCGATAATAAATTCAAGAGATCTTGCAAACATTTATTATTTAACTGCCTCTGGGAAAATTTAAACACGAAACGGTAAGAAATAAAAAATATAAGATATTTCCAGAGAATATAAGTTTTTTAAATAGTAGAATAATAAAAGACGGTAGTAATATCGGTTAAAACTACACTGATATTTCTAAAATAATGAAAAAAGTGATGGATGGTGAGAGTCGAGGGAACGTTGTGTTTCCAGAAGAAGATTCACAGAGAATCACGGGGAAATACGACACAGTACTTCATTGGCGATGCAACACATAACGACGCCAGCTGCGCGAGGGGGGGCGAGGATGCCCGGAAACCAGGCAACCGGGGGCAGAGGTGGACATCCGGATGATTTACAGTTAGATCACTGTCCCAATCACATTGATTCGGAATTACATCGAACACTTTAGGAGATTTCTCTAATTTCAAGCAATTTCTACGATTTCATCGTCACACACAGAGATCCAGTACTACCTGCAATTTGCAGACAAATTGCAATACGTTCTAGTATATATAATTTACAAATTTAAAAAAAAAAAAGAAACATTGAACACACTGAATCTCTGTCGTTTAAAAAGGGAACTGGGTAACAATGAGAATAACATGTTATTAAATGAATTCATTGCCCGAGGATTATTAATAACGTTCGACATTGAATACGACATGGCACTCTGAGAAACACGGACTCTGCTCGGTTAGTCTCGTAAAACGAGTAGAAAATCTTAAGAACAAATGAAAGAAACAATACATTAAATAAAATTCAAAATGGAAATGGGCTTCTTAAAAGAATAAAACATATATGTACATATAGAAAAAATTGGTATTGTTGAGCAACAAATCCGTTTTCTCCGGTGCGTTGAAAATCATTGAACACACGGAGGAAAACATTATGTTTTCGCACTTAAAAAATAAACTTTGTCCTTGAACTGATTTCACCGACAGCGGTATAAATTAATATAAAAATAAAATCGACGACCCGCCGAGGTTATTAATATCGAAATAAATCGATCATCTGTTATCTGTAATATTTTTCTCCGTGTACAGTTTGATTCATATTTGATAAAACAAAGAATGGAAGACAATAACGAACGTGTATACACGCGTGTATATGTATACATATAAAGAAAATAGTCTAAAGAGAACGAGTGGTTTCTTTCTCGACGCTTTAGTGTTCCATACCTGAAAACTCCGGTCTGTAAAACCAAGTAGCCGATACCTTTTCGCTTTAGACGACATTGCTCGAATCCCGACTTCCGGGGAACAGGAAGAAGAAGAAGAAGAAGAAGAAGAAGAAGAAGAAGAAGAAGCTGCTCGAGTCGCTCGAGGACGATCTTTCGAATCCTTCCGTAACATTTTCCCTTTCTTTTTGGCGGCAGAAGGTGAAGGGGATTGGGGATAAAGGTCTTTCGTGTTCGAATGGTTTCGAGTGTTTCTATTTTCTCCCTTCTCTGTACTCGAATTGAAATGTATGTGTCGTATCGATATCTTATGTACTGTGTTACGAATTGTCGTTTTATCTCTCGGTTGCGAGATTTTATTTAGATAGAATTTACCTTTTCTTTTTCTTTTTCGTGTGGTATATAACGTTGTGCCAATGTTCGACGTATTGACGGACTATATAATTTTTGTTTCCTCTTTGTATGTGCGTGCATCCTTTGCGATGTGACGGATAGAGATTTAGAATATGTTCGAAAGAATTTATCACTGTCTGGTTGATATTCATGTGTGGAAGTTTGAAGGTCAATAGAATATGGTAGAAGAGCAGAGCATGTATAATTGCGGTGAGGTATAATTGCGTTCGAGATGACGCAAAGAATGCGACGACATGTTTCTGTATGAGTCTGTCTGTTTTCTTAGTGGCAAACTTACGTCTTGGCGAGTTCTTCAGTACGCCGCGGTAATCGTCGCTCCTTGGTTTCACCGTTAGGGTGGTTTCGGTGCGTGCCTCACCTACCGAGCTTCTCGCGATTACTTCGACTTTCCCGTGATCGTACTGTCTCGTCTTGGGGATGTCCAGATGATACATGCCGTCGTACGTTAGTTTATAGCGTGATCCCTGCACGATTGAATCGAATTACGATATAGAATTATGGTTTGAAAAGGTTGTAGGACATTTCATTAAGAAACAGTAAATGCACGAATATTTAGGTACGAAAACCTTTCAGCAAATTTGTGTTTTTATAAATTCTAATTAAATTAAATGAAATTGAATACATTTAATTGAAATTAAATAAATAAAATTTGTCTGTTTTGAATTTGTTGAATTTCAATTTTTATAATTTTAAACGAATATTATTGTTTCCTTTTAAGATTGGAAAAACAAAGTTTGGGTTAGGTTTGGGTACTTACATTGACCACAGTATGTCCATTGATGATCCACATGACACGTGGTCTTGGGTGACCAGTGACGCGACAGCAGAACCTGGACCAATCACCTTCTTCGACGGTTACCGGCTCAGGTTTGCTTACAAATGTTGGAGGTGCTCGCACCTTCTCTTCCTCACCTTCCTCCTCAGGCACTCTGAATGACACATTTGTACGGAATTAATGAAAACGAGATACTAGTTCCTTTCTTTTTTACTCTCTTCTACGAAATAGAACATCTTTCTTAACCCCTTGCGCTGGCAACTGGTTCGCGGACCATCGGTATGATATCACTGAACAGAAATGATTAAGAAGTAATAAACTTATCATTTGGTTTGCCTGGGTTACATTTAAATACACTTAAAACTGAGAAAATGTTGCAATTTGGGACAAAAAATTCGCGACGTGCGTGGCACCGATTCATTCCAGCGCAAGAGGTTAAGAAATCAAAATCACTAAAGGAAAAGGAAAAAGGTAACAACATATTTCGAGACACCTCCAAACTTTTCGCTTCGTCTAAAAAATGAAAGTCTAAAACGAAAGAAAAAACGAATATTTTCCTTTCCTCAGAATTCTGTCGCTGAAAGTAATTCCTTTTGCAAAAATTTGTAGTCACTGGGTAGTAAAATTTCTTACATTTGCCACGCAGCTTCCATTTCTCTGATCTTCTCGATACTCTTCATGCCCTTCGGTAGCTGCGACTCGTAAATAATTCCAGGCTTGCCAGCCGTTCGAATCACCGCCCGTGTCTCGTCCATTCCATAAAGATTCGTCGCTCTGCATAGATATTCGCCGCTGTCTTCAGGGTACACCCATCCAAAGTTCATCGCCACGTAACCGAAATCGTAAATCGGGGTGAATCTGTTCTTGTGCGGCAGAGGTTTACCGTTGAAGAACCACTCGACTTTCATGTTCGGGTCACCGACAGGTGCCAATTGACACTCGAATTTCGTGCTGTTCATCTCGATCAGCTCGGTTTGGTCCTGGATCTGGGTAACGAAACGCGGTGGTTGTTTCTTATCAGCGTCGTAGAGGTCGTCCTCCGTGAGATGAACCTCCGATGTGTACTTCTTGATGGTGGCTTCCATCTGCATCAACGCTTCCGACTTCTTCATACCCTTTGGTACTTGGTTCTGTAGGATGATGCTGGGCAACTCTGCAGAGAAAATTCGAAACGGCGACATTGAGTATATTTGTGGTGTGATTTCTATTGAAAGTTAATTTCATGAAATTTAATAAAATTAAAATTTAAATAATTTAAAATATAAAAATCAAAAGATAAATAATTTAAATAATTTAAAATATAAAAATTGAAATATAAATAATTTAAATAATTTAAAATATAAAAATTAAAAGATAAATAATTTAAATAATTTAAAATATAAATAATAAAATATAAATTTAAATAATTTAAAATATAAAAATTAAAATATAAATAATTTAAATAATTTAAAATATAAAAATTTAAATAATAAAATTATTAAACCGAATCTTGTAAGCATCAATTCTTTTATCTAGTATATGTTCATTCAAATGAGCCATAAAATAAATCTACGATCAAAATTTTTACTCAGAAATAAATCTACAGAGAAACAAATGAAAAAGTGGCAAAAAAAATATTATAAAGAGTTATAATTTCGTGAAAAAAATTTTGAATTTTTTGGGAGGGGAATAACGAACAGTTATAGAAAAGGAAAGTTACATTGGTAAGGCAACCTTTTGATTTAAAAAATAATTGAAATACTTATCAATCATTTTCCTAAATCTTACTTTTGCATGATACCGATGCCCGGGTAGTATCCTCGCCAAGATCATTAATCGCTTTGCACACGTATTCTCCCGAGTCTTCAGGGTAGACGTACAAAATGTCCATAGACACGAATCCCATATCGTACATTGTTCTGTATCTATGTCCAGCTGGGATCAATTTTCCATTTCTGTACCACTCGATACGTAGATTTGGATCATCCTTTGGTTCCACGCGGCATTCGAACCTAACTGGCTCGGACTCGTCGACTGTCGCTGATTGGATCTGTGTAATGAACCTTGGTGGTTGACGTGGTGGCTCCTCAGCAGGTGGCTCGCTCACTGGGCCGCGTTCCAATTCTTTCAATTTTTCGCCGCTCATGCCCGAGGGCAGTTGCGAGTCGAAATCTATGGTCTTCTTAGCTGCAATAAGAATTTATTATTATTCAAACTATCACGTTATAGTAAATAGCAGTATAAAATGATTCTTTTAAGGGAACAATCTATTTGTCAGAAAGAATAAAATGATTATCTTAAAAAGGAAGTATAACTAATTATTTTAACCTCTTGCGCTGGAATGACGTGCCACGCACGTCGAGAATCTTTTATCCCAAAATTGCAATATTTTCTCAGTTTTAAGTATAACCCAGGCAAAATAAATGATTAAATAAATTTATTACTTCTCAAAAAGAAAGCGACGAATTATTGTTATGGCCCGCAATCAGCTGCCAGCGCAAGTGGTTAAATCAGACTTATAATCGATTGATTTTTAACTACTGTAATTATAGTTCTGAAATATCACAATACGAGCAGAAATATAAAATACAAATCTTCGTGGGACCAGAACAACAAGATTAAAAATATCTCGCATCTCAGTACAAGAAAAAGCAACTATATCCAATAAATATATCCTTTCCTACATAAAGTTGAGTAACAATCGATAAATCATAATCTCTGTATAACTTTCTATGCACCACAATTCTATTACTTACATTTGCACGTTATGGTGGCCTTAGTTGTAGCAGATCCCCACTTGTTGGTAGCTCTGCAAACGTATTCTCCGCTGTCTCTAGCGTAAGTGTACGACATGTCCAACGAGATGAATCCAAAGTCGTTGATCTGGTGTACGCGAGATCCAGTCGCGAACGATCGTCCATTATGGAACCAGTCGATACGCATCGTAGGATCGCCCACGGGTTCCACTCTGCAGTCAAAGTGACTCGGTTCTCCTTCCTCCACTTCTATGTCCTTCAACTCGACGGTGAACTTGGGAGGATTAGGCGTCTCCTCCTCGGTCAATATCTCGTCCCTCTTGTACAACGCCTCCTCCAATTTCTGAATGCTCTCCGTGCCAGTTTTGAAGTTGGTTGGCAATTGTGGCTCCAAGATGATCCCCTGACGTCCACGAACTTGCAGCTTGCAAGAGACGGTGGCCTCGCCGTGGCGATTCGTTGCCTTGCAAGTGTACAGGCCAGAGTCTCGTTGGTAACAGTTGGCTACTTCCAGTATAACGAATCCAAAGTCGTGGATGGTTTTGATTCTGCTTCCGGCCAGCAGAGGCTTCCCGTTGTGGAACCACTCTACTCTCATGCTGGAGTCGTTGATCGGTGTCAACCTGCACTCGAAGTGCGCCAAGGAATTCTCGGTTAGGGTCAGATCAGACGGCGTTGTGACGAATTCCGGTGGTTTCCCGGTGTCGTCGTCTGGTATCGCTTGGCCACGCTCGTTTCCAAGGCCTTCCAACTCGGCGATCTTGTCAATGGTGCCTTCCATTCCTTTCGGCAGCTGAGACTCGAGGATGATGCTTCGTTTGCCAGTGCACTTCATCGTGCACGTGGTCACAGCCTCGCCGTAGTCGTTCGTCGCCCGGCAGCTGTACTCGCCGGAGTCTTCCGGATAGATCGGCGAGATTTCGAGTATCACGAAGCCGAAGTCGCAGAAAGTGCGGAAACGAGTACCGGTTCGCAGTGGTTTCCCATTCCAGAACCATTCGACCTGAAAAATTTTATCATTCTCCTGCTTTCATTTGTTGTTGTTGCTCATTTATTTTGTTATCGGTCAATCAATTGGAAACTTTAGTTACGTTGGTTAATTTCTTTCGTTGAAAAACTTTTCGAAAGTGTGGGAATCGAGTGTTGAAAAATGTTCAAATGTTCAATACTAAAACTACATAGTACTGTAAAATTCGAATTTTTCCAGTGAAACAGCAACTTTGTTAATAAAAATTCTAGTGACTAAAACATTTGAAGTAACGTAATATTACATAATATAATATTATATTATTTTAAAATATAATATAAAATATAATATAATATTTAAAGTAAAATTTTGAAGTTTGTAAAATCAAATTCAAATTCAATTCTTATTATATATTTTATATTTATTAATTATATTTAGAATATATGTGTGTTGAGATTTTATATAATGTGTCAAGATTTTAATCATATATATGTATATATATGTATGTATTATATATATATTCATGATTAAAATCCCGGCATATATATATATATATATATTAAAATATTTTATTTCGATATATTAAATGTTTCGATCTATATAAATGCTTTATTTCAATATATTCAACACATTAAAATTCTCTCATTGTAAAGTTCTGTCACAAACTTACCTTTAATTTTGGATCGTCAGTGGGAGTAAGTCTAGCTTCAAAGTGCGCGCTCTCGCCCTCGCGGAGGCCGTCGATGTTGCTCAAAGGCACGGTGAACACTGGCGCCTTTCCTCGTTCCTCCACAACCTTCTCATCCTTAGTGCGAATCATCGAGTCCTCCAGCGTCTGAATCTTCTCCAGTCCACCTTCCATCCCCTTAGGAAGCTGCGACTCCAAAATAAGACTCGACTTCGAGTAACACTTCAACGTCGCCTTAGTCGTGTCCTCTCCGTACTTGTTGAAAGCTCGGCACTCGTAGACACCGGAATTCTCCTCGTAACAGTACAAGATGTCCAGAATAACGATGCCAAAATCGTGGAAGGTTCTGTACCTGTGCCCGTGGGGCAATTTCTTTCCGTTGTAATACCATTCGACCTTCAAGTCTGGATCGTTCACTGGCGTGAGTCTAGCCTCGAAATGAGCCGACTGTCCCTCGACCAGTTTCGTAATGTCAGATATCTGCGTGATGAACTTAGGTGGCTCTGCGACTGGTGTCGTCGGCGTCGTAGGTTGTTCACCGCCGTAACTCTCCAATTCCCTGATCCTGGCGAGAGAGTCCGGTTGCAACGAATCGAGGTACACACCGCTCTTCCCGAAGCACTTCAGAGTTGCTTTCGTGTAATCTTCGCCGTATTTGTTGCTAGCCTTGCACACGTATTCCCCGGTGTCGTGTGCCATCACGCCAGCGATGTCCATCACGACGAATCCAAAGTCGGACACCATCTTGAATCTGGACGAGTGCCTCAGCGGCTGGCCATTGTGGAACCATTCCACTTTCATGTGAGGATCACCGACTGGGATCAGCGTGCACTCGAAGTGAGCGGACTGGCCGTCCTTCAGGCCCTCCAACGACTGAATGTGAGTCGTGAATTTCGGCTTCTGCCCTTTGGATTTGTCCACGCATTCCAGCTCCACGCTGATCTCCGCTTGGCCCCACTTGTTGGTAGCCCGGCAGGAATAGGTGCCAGAGTCCTCTATCTTCGTTCCAAGCACCTCGAGAACCACCATCCCGAAAGCGTAGACCGTTCTAATGCGATGGCTCGCTTCCAACACTTTGCCGTTGTAGAACCATTCGACGACCATCGTTTGGTCGCCAGTCGGCGTGAGCGATGCCTCGAAGTGAGCGATTTCTCCTTCGGACAGGTTCGTCAGGTTCTCGAATTGTGACGTGAACACTGGCGGATGGCCTTCCTCGCTCTCCGGCGGTGCTCCTTCTTGCCGTTTCAACGACTCTTCGAGATCCTGGATCGCTTCTAACCCTTCCTTGCCTTTCGGATGTTGCGACCTCTCGATGATGTTCTCCTTGGTCGAGCAGTAGATGGTCGTCGAGGTGAACGCCTCGCCAGCTTTGTTGTACGCTTTGCAGGTATAGATTCCAGAGTCACGATCGTAGACGTCAGTCAGGTCTAACGTGACAAATCCAAAGTCGCTGGTCATCTTGAACCTGGACCCGTGCTCCAGAGCTTTCCCGTTAAAGTACCACTCGATCTTCAAGTTCGGATCGTCCTTGGGCTCTACCTGCCCCTCCAAATGAAGGGGCTCGGACTCGCCTAATCTAAACTCTGGCTGCAACGGCACCGTCCAGATCGGCTTCGGATATTCCTGATCCGGTCCAGCTTCCGGTCTCCTGTACTTCGACAGATACGCGTCCTCAGCTTCTCTCACCTTCTCCAGGCCAGCTTCTCCCTGAGGATGCTGCGTCTGCAGGTAGATATTCTGTTTGCTGGTGCACTTGAGCGTTCCGGATGTCTGCGCCGACCCTTTCGAATTGGTAGCCTTCACGATCACCAGTCCCGAGTCCTCCTCGTAAGCGTGATTAATGTCCAAAGCTACGTAACCAAAGTCGTAAGTCGACTTGAATCTCGCCCCAGTTGGAAGCGGTTTCCCATTGATGAACCACTCGATCCTCATCGTCGGATCCTTGGACGGCTCAACGTTGCACTCGAAGTGTACGTTGTCGCCCTCCACGCACTCGACGTTGTTCAAGTGTGTGATGAACACTGGTTCTTCGTACGTCGGCTCTGGTTGCTCTGCCGCTGTCACGTGTGGTTGTTCCAAGGCGTCGATCTTCGGAAGAGCGTCAGGGTGAAGGGTGTCGCCCAGTAACCAGTGACGATCGACGATTTTCAAGGTGCAAGTGGACACAGCCTCGCCGTGCAGATTGGTGGCCTTGCAGGTGTAAATGGCGGAGTCGTCGGGTCTTAAGCCATTGATGGATAGCGAAACTAGGCCAAAGTCGAAGGTACTGCGAAGCCTGGTTCCAGTTTGAAGAGCCACACCGTTCTTGAACCATTCGACGCGAAGATTCGGATCAGCTCTTGGCTCTACCTGAGCTTCCAGGTACACGTGCTGCCCTTCCACGAGCTTGTCGTAACTTTCAAGGTGTTTGGTGAAGACCGGAGCCTGCTGAGGCGTCGTGTCGACGAACATTTCAGGCACTTTGTTCATCTCTGCCTCCTTCAGTTGGATCTTCTGCCAGGCATCCGGTTGCAAACTATCGGCATCGATGGCCGAGCGCGCTTTCACCTTGAGGGAAATCGAGGATACTGCCTCGCCAGATTTGTTAATCGCTTTGCAGGTGTAGACGCCGGAATCTTCTGAGATCACTTTCAAGATGTCTAGGGTCACGTAGCCGAAATCGTGGCTCACGTGGAACCGAGATCCTGTCGGAAAATTAAGTGAAATAAAAGTTGAATTATAGTTACAGTTATATAGGAATTTCTCTTCGGGTATTGTAACATGAAATTCGTACGAATTTTTATGGATATTTATGGACTTGTAAATAGATGTAAATTTTCAACGTATGCATTTTTATGGACTCAGGTTATAAATGGATGTAAATTTGAAATTTCTGAATTTTTCGGACTCCCACATTTGGTAATTTTCAAATTTCTAAAATCCCTGAATTTCTGAATCTCTGACTCTTGAATTTTCGAACATCTGAATCTTTTAATTTTCAAGTATCGAGAGTTTTGGAATCCCTGACTCTTAAATTTTAACTTAAATTCTCGAATCTCTCTGAATTTTTTAATTTTAAAATTTCTGGAATTTTGAAACCTTTGAATCTCTGACTCTTAAATTTTGGAATCTCTGAATTTTTTAATTTTCGAGTTTGGAATCCCTGAATTTTCGAGTCTTTGACTCTTGAATTCTCGAGTCTCTGTGAATTTTTTGATTTTCAAATTTCTGGAATTTTAGAACATCTGACTCACGCATCGAATCTCTGGATTTCTAAATTTCTAAGTTTTTTCTTCTAATTTTAAACTGTCAAAATTACAGTAAAGATTTCCCAGATCTGTGAATCATCAGTATGAGATTCTTACCCATCTTCAGTTCGACTCCATTAATGTACCACTCGAATCTCAAACTGGCATCGCCAACTGGAACGACTCTGCATTCGTATCTAGCCATCTGACCTTCCCAAAGTTCCGTGGGTCCAGTCAACAATTGCGTGAAGATAGGTTTATCGAATACTTTTTCCGGTTCTTCAGGACGTCCTGGTTTATCGGCTTCAAGTTGGGCGATCTTACGTTGCGCTTCAGGATGTTGGGTTTCTAACTGAATGTTTGCTTTGCCTAGATGGGAGAAATTGAAATTGATAATTAATAACAAGGTTTGAGGGAAATGTGCATTGTGTTGGTGGCAATTTAGTACTGATACTGACTTCTGATCTTCATGGAAGCAGTAGTAACTGCTTCACCGAGTGGATTGGAAGCACGGCACATGTAGACACCTTCGTCTTCTTCTCTCACGTGGTTGATGTCCAATGAGACGTAGCCGAAATCGTGGACTTTAGTGATTCGTGAACCTAGAAATGAGATAGATTTAGAGATAGCATACGTGAACTGTCAATATTTTAAATACTTTTAAACATTTCAAATTTACTTTAAATTATTTAGAGTACTTTACTATAAAATACTTTAAATTTAAATACTAGAAAATAATACTTTTAAATACTTTAAATTTTCACACTTTCTTACTTTAAATACGTTATTATAAAATACTTTAAATTTAAATGCTCGAAAATAATACTTTTAAATACTTTAAATTTTCACATTTTCTTACTTTAAATATGTTACTATAAAATACTTTAAATTTAAATACTCGAAAATAATACTTTTAAATACTTTAAATTTTCACATTTTCTTACTTTAAATACTTTACTATAAAATACTTTAGATTTAAATACTCGAAAATAATACTTTTAAATATTTTAAATTTTCAAACTTTCGAATTTTATAATTTTTCAATTCGTAAATGTTCGATTTTTGAAGTATTCGATTTTTAAAATTTCCAAATTTTCGAATGTTCAAAGTTTTAACTCTCTGTATTCTAATTTTTAAGTTTTAACTCGAGTATTCCAATTTTTAAATTTCCGAACTCTCGAATGCCCAAGCTTTTAAATTCTCCGATTTTCAAAAGTGGAAACTTTTAAATTTCCAAGCTCAAATTTGTAAATTTCTAAATTTCTCAGAATTTAAATTTTCTAAAACTCGAACGTCCGAAGCCTCGAATTCTAAATTCCCAAATTCTCCACTCTATTCAAAATGAAAAATTCTCCAACTTTAAGTTTTCAACTTCTCAAATCTCAAATGTTCGAAATTTCGAAACTCTCGATCTCTCCCAAATTTCTGAATTTTCAAATTCCCCCACGTTCGAGCTAAATAATTCGCGCGACACTCACTCGTCTCGAGCGGGATTTCATTTCTGAACCATTCGACCTTCAACGTAGGATCTCCTACAGGGATCAGCCTGCACTCGAAGTGAGCGGTGTGTCCTTCGGGAATGGCATCGATATTTTGCAACGGTTGAGTGAACACCGGTCTCTGTCTAGTTTGTGGTTCCGGCACGTCTGGTCTCTTCCAAGGTTGTTGAGCTTCCAGTTCACGAATCTTGTCCAGTCCTTCAGGACGTTGCGAGTCCAGGATAATGTTGTCCCTTGGAATAACCCTCAGTTCGATCGAGGACACGCATTGTCCAAGAGCGTTGATAGCTCGTACAGAATATTCTCCTGCGTCTTCAGGAACAGCATGGCCAATATCAAGAGCCACATATCCAAAGTCGAACGTCACGTGGAACCTGGAAGCCGATGGAAGCGGCTTGCCATTGTGGAAGAATTCAATCCTCAAGTTGGCGTCGTGAAGCGGCTCAACTTGGCACTCGAAGTGGGCTGTTTGTCCTTCGTAAACCTCCGTGGTACCCTGAAATTGCGAAATAAATATTTGTTGAATTTTCACTATACCAGGACAATTGAAAGAAACTTTTTTTTTAAGTACGCTTGATTTTACGAATTTGCAAACCGTAGAGAAATCTATCAATAATTGAGAAATTGAATATCTCATAACATGCAAATATTTGTGCTTTGTACTGGTAAATAATAAAATATTACAGATTATTCGATAGAAAATATTTTGGAAATTAAATATTTCATAACACACAAGATGGCGATTTTGTAATGGATAATTTGATAAATTTGAGATTCTATAAAAATACTTCGACCAATCTGACGAACGAAATTTTTACCCTAAGTTCAGTGATGAATCTCGGTGGTGTCACTGGTGGTTCTTCTACTTCTAAACGGGCTGGACGACCTTGGGCCTCGAGTTCACGAATCTTCTCGAGACCATCTGGATGTTGAGTGTCTAGGAGAATACTGCGACGAGCTATGAAAAGAAAGTCACGCGTCAAAGATATATTTATCATCAATAATACCAATTAATATTACGAATATTACTATCGTTACTATTCCACTGCTGTAATAACTATTCCAACTTATCCACCAATTAGTCTTTTTTCTATTTTCGGTTCAAGGTTTACTTTGTACTCCGTCGAAAGTGACGCGTCGACTAGAATTACAAACTTTTGGCTTTGTACAGATATCACAAAATTCATCATTCCTCCCATGATGCTTATTGTCTCTGACGACTTCTGATTCTTTTCTCGTTTTTAAATCAACTTTCTTTTCGGGATACGTTTTGTCACATCGAACGGTACTCTTATGCCGGTTTCTTTCACGCAAACAATTTCTGTGTCTTCTATTGAGTTGTTTGTCACGTTTAGACGTCGTTAAAGAAAATAAATTGAGTCTAGATTTTACAGCCGACAAATTTCCTCTCTCGAGGGGGGAAGGTGTTCTCGTTTTACGATAGTATTCGAGTTTCTCGGGAGGTATCCAGGGTGGGAAACGAGGGGTATGGTAATGTTTCCTTTTTGCTAAGAATTCGAATAATTTCTCGTTAGATGTTGATCTCGTCAGAATTTTTTGCGAACTTTTTTAAGTAAACGAAACAGGTGATCAGAGTACTTACAGCCAACTCTGATGGTGCACGTGTTGACAGCCTCGCCAGCCAAGTTGGTGGCTTTGCACATATAGGTACCAGAATCTTCAGGGTACGTATAAAGAATATCAAGAGCCACGTAACCGAAGTCGTGTGTCTTGCGGAAGCGGTGTCCTGTTCTTACAGCAACTCCATTTACGAACCTGCGATTAATTAAATTTAAATAAATTAGTCCAAAAACGATTAGTATCAAAACGATTTTGTGATAATTAAATTTATATCACATGATATTTATATTATATATTATATTTATTATATACATTATAATATAATAATATTACTTAATTTAATAATTATATATAATATTTATATATTATATACATATATTATATTATATATTTATATAATATTATTATACAAATATATAATATATTATATTTATCTCGCTAAATTTATCAGTGGTGATAATTATAAAACGAATATACGGTAGTAAGCATACACTTGTTCCTTTTTCAATTATTATACGTGGAAGAAACTAACTTTCAGAAATTTTAGATATTCAATAAAAGACAAGTCTATTGGAAAAAGTTTCTCTTTTCTTCAGAGAGGGGGAAAGAAGTATAAATAATTAAGTATAGATAATATAGAAATTCGAATTCTGGGAATCCAAGGATCAATATTAGAATTATATTTACATGTCACGAGGTTAATGAAATTGAATTAATTCTAGTTAATTGATTCAAGTACCATTCTATCTTTAGATTTGGATCGTTGATGGGCTCGACGCGGCATTCCAAGTGAGCGTGTTCGCCCTCTTTTAGATCCAGGTTGTTCAGTGGCGTCAAGAAAACGGGTTTCTCGTGTACAACCTCCTTTTCGACCTCTTGCTTCACTTCTACGGTCTCCAATTCGCGAATCTTTTGCAAACGCTGAGCGTCCAACGTGTCCAAGTAGAGGCCTTGTTTCGCTGTTTAAAAAGATTGAGAATTTTTTAAAACGTTTATTTTTTCTTTTCAGCTAACAACTTATAAATTTGGACGCAAGTCGAAAGGTTATAATGTCTGTAACGTATCTGAGATTGTCAAATGTCTAACACTTCCTCAAATACGGATCTATAGTAGTGAAAACAATTGTGAAAAAATTTTTACATTAAAACAATACAATACGTGGACTCGAAAATCAACGCAAAAATCTGATATATAAAGAAAATCAGAGTATTTTTGTAATTTTCTATATCTCTTGGCACGTAAACTATGTTTTTCTAAATTTACTACATTGAAACTCTAACTTGGTAAATTTCTTAATTCGACAGTTGTTCGAAAACAGTTAGTTACTGACTCTAGATTTTCTCAAATCACGAAACACTGTAACTAATCCTTTAATCCCCTAAATTTCTCAATTTACAAAATTCTATTCCTCGATACTCTAAATTCCACGATTCACAAAATATTAATTTTCAATGTTTCAAACTTTCTTAATACACAAAGTATTATTCTCCAATATTCTTTATCCATCAAAAAAAAAAAAAAAAAAAAGAAAAAAAAATACTTGTTACAAATTCTCTTTAAATTTTCGAAACTTGACTCACAGTCAACGCTGATGACGCAAGTGGTAACAGCTTCACCAACAGCGTTCCTCGCCTTGCACATGTAGGTTCCAGAGTCTTCCGGATAGGCGTACAGGATATCCAGAGCGACGTAGCCAAAGTCGTAAGTGGTCTTGAACTTGTGGCCTTGAGGGATCGGTCTACCATCTCTGTACCACTCGACGACCATAGTCGGATCGTTAACAGGCGTTAAAGTCGCTTCGAGATGAGCGCTCTTGCCTTCAGGCAGATGCTCAATATTCTTCAATGGGCGGCCGAATTTCGGTTTCTCGGCGATGATCAAATCCTCCTGGTCCGTACGTTTGTAACGCGAGTCGTCCTCGAGATACTGTATCTTCTTCAGGGCACTTTCGTGTTGAGTTTCGCGTATAATCGACGCGCGAGCTGCAACGTAGGCGTTCGTTCCATCATACCATTTCTTTCTCTCGCAAAATATGCCGCGCTTGGAGGACAGAAGGGTTCAGGATAATCCTTTCGCGAGGATTATCCTTTCTTTCATCCCATCTTTCAGGTACGAACAAGTGATATACAAGAGGCATGTGAACGAATAGAAAATAATATAAAACAGTAGGTAAGAAAAACCAACGATGAAGCATCCAGGAAAAAAAGAAGGGTGACAATTCACTGTGTGTACAATTTACAAAAGCGGGACTACGGTGTTTTAAGCCACGGAGAACTAGAAACATTGGGGAACAGGGTCTCTAGGTAACACAAGGTGCTTGGTTACATCCACCTGCTGTCCCCGGTGCGTGATTTCGTCGTGGAGGCTCGCAGAAGTATCGATTTTTCGTTTTCGAATTGTTTGATTCAGTAGTGGTTGATTTTGGAAGTTTCTTTGGAAATTATTGATTCGAGAAAGACACGAAAAATATTTTTGGAACTTTCTTTACAGATAGAGAGTTGAGATTTCTGGTGAATTGATGTTGTAGAATAATAGGCGATACTTGAAAGAATTCTATCTAAATTTTTCACAAAGTATAATTTAAACAAAGATCAATGTAACGTTTATAACAATGTTACAAAGGAGCAGAAATTGAAATTAAATAACCTTCTGAAAAATACGAAATATTATATTATATATAATAATATAATATTTATATATTATAATTATAATATTTATAACAACATTATAAATATTCTATATTTATAAATAATATTATAATATTATAATATATAAATATTATATTATATAAATATAAATATAAAAATATAGATATATAATAAATATAAATATATAAATATAAAAATATAGATATATAATAAATATAAATATATGAATATTATATTAAATTGGAACTCTAACTGTCAAGTTTGTTTAATGATCCGATAATGCCTGCATCTCTCAGAAATAAGATTTCGAATTATTTCTGTGTTCTTCGACAATAAGATTCACATCGAAATTTTCAATAATTAACCTACACTTGCAATATCGATACTTCTACGCCGCCACTGACTCAATGACTTACACAGCGTGGAAAATCCTCGAGGGTGATCCTCGTCTCCGTTTCACCCCCGCGACTACTTACATTTCACGTCGAGATTAATCGAGCTCTTCGCCGATCCCAGTCTATTGGTGGCCTGGCAGGTATAAGTGCCAGAATCCTCGGCATATACCGTGAGCACGTCCAACGCAGCGAATCCAAAGTCGCAGGTCGTTCTGTACCTGTGACCGGTGGACAATGGTTTCCCATTGTGGAACCATTCCACCTTCATACTCGAATCGGGATAGGGCTCGATACGGCACTCATAGTGTGCGCTTTGCCCCTCGACTAAGCTGGTAGGACCGTTCAGTTGGACCGTGAACGACGGTTTCTCCTTTACCACGATCTCCTCCTCTTCCTGCCGTTGATACCTGCTCGTGTCCTCCAGTATTTGGATCTTCGACAACGCGCTCTCGTGCTGCGACTCGAATTGCAGGGCCGCCTTGGCTGTGTTCGGGGGGAACATGTTTGTCAGTGTGTTGCGTTGTACACGTGTCGTGAACAGCGATGAAAACGCTTCAATCGGGGTGAAAGCTACGAGTCTCTTTAGCGTTTTAATCGTTTCAGTCTTGTTTCGAGAATGATCGTTTTATGGTTTGCGAAGATTACAGTTCTGGTCGAGTTACGAGAGAAGCGAGCTGATGAGTGTTCATCGTGTTCTTCTTTCTTTTCGCGATGATTATAGAGACATTGAGAAATGAGATGTCAATCTTGTTAGTATTTCTTTTTTGATAACTTTTGAACAGTTTTTTTATGCTTCGCGAAGATTATATTTTTGGTTGCATGTGAGTCTTTTAGTGTGATGTGATGCTTGATAACTTTGATACCACGTGATCTTTGGTAGAATTAGTAAGTATTTGATGCCAAAGAGATTGAAATTAAAGAAATTGAAATGAAGGCGTATAAGAAAATAATACGAAAGATTGCAATACTAATTAAAAATGTATAAAGTTCTTTCGAGTTAAAAGTCAATAAAATGAAACGTTAGTTTACAAATTCTTTGAAATGTATCATAATCAATGACTATTCTGGTTATAACAAAGTATAGTTAACGTGAATTTATTACAGCAAAAAGATTAATTCTAATTAATCATAGACAATTTCATCTGATTAAAATGTTTTGCAACATGTCAAATAAAAATCGGCCGTGAAATATGAAGACGCGAAATATGAGTCGATAAAAAATAATAACACTTCTCAAAAATTTGCCCGTGAATAACGTAACTCGTCGACAAAAGTTACGATCGTAATGTGTGATCAATGGTGATGTATGTGAAAAACTTGTTAAAAAAAAGAGTCAGCTGTGGCCAAGAATAAAAAAATCTCCTTCTTCGTGAATTTCGCCGTGCAAAAGAAGAAAATTCATATTCTTCGAAGCAAAAAGAAGAAAAAAAAAAGGAAAAAAATTCGAAATGATCTTCGAAGCAAGAAAAAAAAAATACTCTACTAACACTTCACCAAAGAAGATAAAGGGGAAAGTCGCTGCACACAGAAATACAAAAATATCTACGTGTAAGCAGCTGCTTCTACACGTTCTGAAAGCTAGATTATAGCTTGTGAGAAGCGACACTGAAATCGAAGCCTCATTTTCAAAATGTTCTACAAGTTTTGCGCACTAATTTATACTTACACTGGACGAAGAGTGTCGCTGATGTTACAGCCTCTCCGAGATCGTTTCTTGCACGACAGGTGTAGGTACCTGCGTCTTCAGGGTTCACGTACTTCATGTTCAGAGCGACGTATCCGAAATCGTGCATCGTTGTAACGCGATTGGCTATTGAAAATATAATAATTAATCGTACGTATTTTTAATAGAAATTTATTTCCGATATAATATATAATATAATTTATAATCTATAATTTATAATATATAATATAACCTTCAGATGTACATACTTTCGAAGTAAATAGTTTTGAATTTTAGAAATCGATTTCAAAGATTTCGAAATTTTAATGATAGACCTTTAACAATAGGCTTTTAATACATTGAAAAAAATTCGAACGAGATAAAATTTAAATTAATAATTGACGTGGAAGCTTCTCAACTTTTCAACGTAAAAAATGATCGTCAATTCGACATATTCGAGTGCAGCTTGTTGCTAAAATTGGAGAAAAATTTCGAAACCGATATCGCAAGATTTCATAAAAATATCATGCAACAAACATGGTAATTGAATTTTTGAGGTTTCATGTCACTTGAAAAATTTCAGGTTTCTAACGTAATGAAATTAAACTGAACATTTTAATCGCGGATTACGTAGGAAAATGTTATATCATGGAGTACAACTTACAAGCTGCGATCGGGACTCCATTCCGCAGCCATTCGACCTTCAGTTTGGAATCGCCGACAGGAATCACGCGTGCTTCGAAATGAGCCGCTTGATTTTCAGCGACTCTCAGATCTTTGATTGGCATCGTGAACACTGGTGCTTGAGTGACGATTTCCTCTGTCGTAGTTTTTCGCTGATATCGCGACGTATCCTCCAAGTATTGAAGACGTTGGAGTGTCTCTTCATTCTGACTTTCCGTGTAAATTGATTTTTTCGCTACGCGTGACAGAGAAATATTGATATTCAGAAGTAAGAAACAACATTATCATCGAGTCCATCACCCCATAAACTTCGAACAAAGTTATTAACATACGTTCGCATTTGATTCTTCAATTCAAGCATGTTTTCGCAGTTAAATGCGAATAAATATTCTTAAAATCTTTCCTTTGTGACGTATACGCACAATATTCGTCTGAATATTTCTGGTCGTAATTTAATGATTATATTTTTTATAAAGTTGAAATTCATTGTAATTTAGTTTAATTTCTCACTTGGACATTTTAAATTGAACATTGAAGACCATAAGAGTTTAAGAATTTAAATTTCTATTGAAATTTTCAGTTTAACTTTAATATCCGGCGTATATAAAATATAAGATAGAATTAAATAAATTATACTCTAAATTCTTCTAATTTAATAAACATAAATTATTACAGTTCAACCATTTGATTAGTTAATTTTCTTTTTCCCAAAATTCATTCTTTAAAATATAATATATTTAATATTAGAATTCTTGCTATTTGAGACACGTTTAACTTGTTATTTTGCCTTTAAATTTCTCCAAACTCCATTACCGTATAAGCTAATTGTCAATCTGTCGTTCAATTCATGTTAAAACTTTCTGTACTTAGATCTATCTTTTTAAACCATTTCAAACCTAATACTATTTTCCAAAGAATTCGAAAAATTTTCTAATTTAATATCACAAATAGCACATTCAAATAACTATAAATAATAAATAAAGTAAGTTTTCCTGGATCAGTGATAAAATCATAAAATAAACAACATAAAGGATATACAAGTGAAAAGTCCAAAGTACTCACAGTGAACGACAGCAGTTGCGGATGTAATCGCCTCTCCGATGATGTTCTTCGCTCGGCAGGTGTAAGTGCCAGAATCTTCAGGATAGGCGTACATAATATCCAAAGCCACGAAACCAAAGCTGTTGGTCTCTACAAATCTGGAGCCAGCCTTGACAGGTTTGTTATTGTGGAACCATTCGACTTTCATCGTTGCATCGGACACGGGTATCAATCTGCACTCGAAGTGCGCCCTTTGGCCTTCTTTGATCTCAACGTTGTTCAAAGAGGTGGTGAAGATTGGTGCCTGAGTGGTTGTCTCCTCGACATCTTCTCGTCGTTGGTATCTGGATCTATCCTCGAGATAGTGAATTTGTTCGAGACCAGTCTCGTTCCGAGTGTCCGTCAGGACTTGTGCAGTTGATCGACAGGTGAGAGTGCAAGATACTTCGTCGCTGCCAACGAGATTGACAGCGCGACAGGTGTAGGTGCCTGAGTCCTCGGCGATTAGGTCGATTACATCCAGTGCAACGTAGCCAAAGTCGTGGATTGGACGGAATCGGTGTCCTGGAAATTGAAAATTTTATATCAGATAATGACAATCGATTTATTGTACTTTTAATTGTAATTATATCACGCCTTTTAACAGTAATTTTCATATCATAATTTTATTATGATTCTTTAATGAGAATTATATTAAAATTTTTAATAATAAGCAATTCCTTCAGTCACAGTTTTCAATAGTAATTTTTAGATAATATTTTTTATTGTTATTATATATTTTTATTATACTTCTTATATTTCTATAATATTTTATAATATTTTTAGAATATTTAATATTATATTTCTTGTATATTATATTTTTATAATATTTTTCTTATTTAAGAATAAGAAATCGATTAAAAATTCTCTATTGCAAAATGAGAGAGACTAGAAAATCTCAAACCTTTTGCCTCAACATCTTCTTTTTCACCGGTGAATAGATAAATAAATTAAAGGAATAAAAAAGGAACAAGAATTTTGTAATTAAAAATGCGAATATTGTGATATTATTAATTCCGTCAAAGAACAAGGAAGCGAAATTTATTAAAAGAAAAAAAAGAAGAAAGGCATTAAAAGACTAGTGTTTAAATTCTGAAATTAACAAATCCAATTATACGTTTGAAAATCTAATTGATATATCTAATATATTAAATGCAACGGCTAGTTTCTTTCTTACACGTATCAAGTGTCCAAGAAATTAATTCGAAAACTGAAAATTTACCTATTGTAACCGGACGACCGTTCTTGTACCATTCAACCTTCAAATTCGAGTCGGTCACTGGTTCCAATTTGCACTCAAAGTGAGCGTATTGCCCTTCGCAAAGATTCTCCTGATTTTTCGGCGCAGTGATAAACCTCGGCTTGACGTTGACCACTTCGTCGACTAGTTCCTGCCTCTTGTATCTGGAAGCATCCTCCAGGTATTGTATCCTTTCCAAGCCTTCAGGATGCTGTGACTCCAGCAGCAAGTCTTTCTTCGCGTGTACTCTCACTGAACAGGAAGTGACGGCCTCTCCCAATTGATTTCTCGCCTGGCACGTGTACACGCCTGAATCGTCTGGATAAACGCCCAAGATATCGAGGGCCACGTAGTCGAATTCGTAAGATGGCCTGAATCTGTGGCCAGTTTTCACTGGTCTCCCATTGACGAACCAGTCCACCTTCATGGTGGCGTCGCCGACTGGCTGAAGGCGACACTCGAGGTGAACGTTGGTCAGTTCTACCGTCTCGATGTTGTGCAAAGGGCGAGTGAATTGCGGTGGTTGCATTACTGTCACTTCTTCTTGTTGTGTCCTGCGGTATCTGCGTGTTGAAGTACAATTTCCACGTGAGTGAATTGTGATTTCTATTGGTTCATATTTAGCACAGGTATGAAGCTTATATCACTAAATTCGAATTTATACTTTATATTAGCCTTAGGTGTGAAGGTGTATCGTACAATTTTTAAACTGCAAACTAATCAATGAGAATATTTGATGTTTCTTATTAAAAGATAGCTAGTTGTGAAGAATTGACAATAAATCAAATGGAAATGTTGTTTTAAAAATCCCAATCTAAGTACAGATAAATTAGAAATTTTTACTTTAACGGATTTTTGACTAAATTACTCTTTACATATTTTTATAATACTACATATAATGTGATTACAGATATATACATAAATATATATAATGCGAATTTAAATACACTACTTAGATAGACTAAATTATATTTAAATTATTACGTAGAAGATCAACAAATATATTCTCATCCCAGTAAAAGTCGAAAATGATTTTACCAAAGAGAACCCCGTCTTTAATATTTTCAAAAATAAAGATCTACATCTCGCGAATTTCACAAATTTATATTCCCTGATCTTACCGTAAAGTCCACTAAATATTACCAACCTTGCAGAATCTTCGAGCATTTGAATCTGTTCGAGCGACTGCTCGTGCTGTGTTTCGGTAACGACGTCGGACTTCCCAATTACTCTGACACAGGCTGAGGTGTGAGCGGTGCCAAGATGATTGGTGGCCCTGACAGTATATTCGCCAGAGTCGAGGACGGTCGAGTGTACGATGTCCAACGCGACGAAACCAAAGTCGTAGTAGGTTCTGAATCTGGAGCCAACGGTAACCGGACGGCCATTTTGGAACCATTCGACTCTCATCGTTGGGTCGCCCATGGGCTCCAAACGGCATTCCAAGTGGATGTTCTTGCCCTCGCTCACTGGCTTAGGGTCGCTCAACGGTTGAACGAATATCGGCTTCGATTTCGATATTTCCTCGATGTGGTATTGCGGCTCGACGAATTTCGACTCCTCGAGGCGTTGTGTTTTCTCGTAGGAGACGCGATGCATGCTGCTTGTATCCACGCTCGAACGTGCTGTTGCCAAAGAAACACGAGAATTACTTTGGTTTGGAGTTCTATAGAATTCAGATTCGATATAGAAATTGACGTCTCTTAGAAATTTTACAACCACAAGTTGTCATCAGTTTTAGTTTCTCGAAGCTTTTATTTAGGCATTCTATCGAGAAATGTAACAAATCGTAAAATTCCAGCGTTCCATTCTCAATCGACTACGTCTTTTCTTTATTCAAATAAATAATAATTAAAAAGATAATTCCTAGATGAATTTAATTTTTATGAAAATTATGTACATACAAATCTATCAGCGCTACAAAAAAACAGACTTATAAACATATTTATAAAATGATTTGAACATACAGAAATACTATACACTGGTTCAACGTTATCTCAAGTGAATGCATAAATATTCATAAACACACCTTGCACTACTAGAATTTCCAACACTTATCTACGTTAACCTCAATTAATGAAATAATTGCCTCGAACAAATGCCTTGAGTGAAACAACTTGTCTAATTAATAATTGACTAAAATAATTGCAAGACTGGCTACGACGACGCAACGAAATTAAAAGAGATCTTACTTTCGACAATCATGGTGGCGGAGAGTTTAGCTTCACCAAGAGCGTTTCTAGCGACGACGGTGTAAGTGCCAGCGTCCTCGGGTCTGACCTGAAGAATATCTATAGCCACGTATCCAAAGTCGTGGTAGGTTTGAATTCTGTTCGCAGCAGTGATGGGTTTCCCATTGTGGTACCACTCAATTCTCATGGTCAAGTCACTTTGAGGTTCGACACGAGCCTCGAAATGAGCACGTTGGCCCTCGACGATCTTGTTGGTACCCTTCAGATTGCCCAAAAATCGTGGCGCTTGAGTCACCTGAGTCTCCTCCTGGACCTGTCGCGAATATCTGCTCGAGTCTTCCAGAGTTTGAATCTTCTGCAGCCCGGTAGGATGTTGGCTGTCGTAAATGACATCGTTCTTGCTGATCACGCTCAGTTGAGCAGTCGTGTGTGCCTCGCCGACGCGATTGTAAGCGCGACAGGTGTATATGCCAACGTCGTGGATCGTTACGTATTTGATGGTCAGTGCCACGTAACCGAAGTTGAAGAACGTCGTGATCCGTGAACCTGAGGGGAAAATCGGTATTTAGTGTGATCCACGAACTTTCAGATTTTAGGTTAGGTAGTCTTTAGGAACTCGGGACTTTTGTGATTTCGTAACTATTGGAAGTTTAGGATTTTGTAAGTTACAGAAATTTGTCGTTTGCAAATTCTCTTGGAATTTTCGTTTGAAATAAAATAATTTTAAGATTTTCGTGTATTTTTAAAATTTTACAGAGTTTTCGCATATTTCTAAAATTCCGTAGATACATTTCTAAAATTTCGAGATTTTATCAGTTGAGAGAAAAGTCGATCCAGAATCTGTCAGATTTTAGAATTCTTTAGGTACTCGGGACTTCTGTAATTTCGTAACTTTTGGAAGTTTAGGATTTTGTAAGTTACAGAAATTTGTCTTTTGCAAATTCTCTTGGAATTATTTTCGTTTTCGCATATTTCTAAAATTTCGTAGACATATTTCTAAAATTTCGAGACTTTTCCAGTTGAGAGGAAAGTCGATCCAGAATCTGTTAGATTTTAGGAACTCCGAATTACAGAGTTCTATAATTTCGAAACTTTTGGGAATTTCATGATTGTAGAATTTTGAAGTTACAGAAATTTGCTGCTTGCAAATTTAAAATCAAGTTTTGTCGTTCTGCATTTTTAGAATTATTTTCGCTTGAAATAAAATACTTCTGAGATTTTCATCTATTTTTAAAATTTTACAAAGTTTTCACATATTTCTAGAATTTCATAGAGTTCTAAAATTTCAAGACTGTTTAAAAATTTTTAGTTTTCGACCATGTTATACGACCTTAAGCTTCTAGAATTATACAATTCTACAATCTTAATATTCTTCGAGTTCAAAACTCGAGATTCTACAATCTTATTAAGAATTCTATGAGTTATTATATAATTAAAACACATTTCCTAAATCTTCAATGTAGTATAACTTATAATTTGTCTAATATTTTATATAAAATTTTCAAATTCACATTTAATTATTCCATTCTCGCTGTGTCCAAACTCTTGGAATGTAGAAAGAAAATAATCGTGCGACTTACTTGCTTCTACAGGGCGTCCGTCCTTGAGCCATTCGACCCGCAGGCTAGAGTCGCCAACTGGCTCTAGGCGTGCTTCGAAATGAGCAAATCCGCCTTCTCGTATGCTGTTCTGATCCTTGATGGGAGATTTGAATTCCGGTGGGCTAGTCGATTCAGGCTGCTCCTGTACGTACTTCTGGTGCATAGCCTGTTGATAGGCTTCCAATTCCTCGGCAGCCTCGATATATCTCTGTTGCTCGGGGATTCCTAGATCGGAGGTAACGCTTGTGCGTGCTGCGATCGTTCAATTCACACGTTAGAGGCAATAACTTTCCGTTAGAAATAATTAGAAGAAAATTATTAAAGAAATTAGAAATAATTTCACTCGAGGATGCGTGACTGTGTTTACCCAAGACACGAAGAGATGCGGAGCTGACGGCCTCTCCCAAGCGGTTCACAGCTCTGACAGTGTAGGAACCCGCATCTTCAGCTCGTAGGTGCAATATATTGAGCGAGACGTACCCGAAGTTGAAGATGGTTGTGATCCTTGAGCCTGAGAATTCCTCAATATCATTAACCATCGAAATGATTCATTTACAACTGAGCAAGATTTGAATAATTTTGCATCTTTCATTGCGTCTTCCTTTCAACGCTTCAACCTCTTTGATATTTTAAAAGATTTCATACTTTGATCATTGATGGTTTTAGTGTTGATAAATGTAACAACAGTGAAAAATTATCAAGTAATATAAGTCAAAATATGAATTAAGTACATAGAAACAGTCTGGGAACAATTATAATTATTATCCCAAAAAAAATCCCATACTTTAATGTAATATTATTAATAGAGAAAATTATTTTGAAACGCCAAAAGGGAAAGAATGTTAAAAGATGCGTATAAACGAAATTTTATAATACGCATGAACAAAGTAAAAATATCAGTATTGTACTCACTAGCTGTGATTGGCCTGCCATCCTTGTACCACTCCACTTTCATCGTTGGATCACTTACAGGGGTCAGTTGCGCTTCAAAATGAGCGTTACGACCTTCCTGTAATTCTCCTAGATCCTGGAGTGGTCGGATGAAGGCCGGCCGCTGTGGAGAGATCTCCTCCACACTCTCCTGTCTTTGATACTTGCTGTAATCCTCGAGCTGTTGGATATATTGAAGGCTGTCGGGGTGTTGGCTTGCCTGTTCGATTGTGGCGCGTGCTGAAGTGAGAATTTTCTTTTCGTAATTTCAATACGACGACAATTTTTGCGGAATTTTAAAGATCCTAGGGAACTTTAGAAATGGGACCGGCTGAATAAGAAATGCAGACTCACGTGTCACGCTGAGGGTAGCTCGAGATTCGGCGACTCCGGTGGAACTTACGACGCGGCATAAATACTCGCCGCTGTCTTGCAGAACGATGCTGATCAGGTCGAGAGAGATGAAGCCGAATCGGAAGATAGAAGTCGCCCGGGAACCTGAATTAGAAATTTCGCGAAATCAAGAACTCGAGAATCGGGAAAATTTGAAAACTGAGAAGCTTTGGTACTCTGGAGGCTTGAAAAGCTTTAAAATTCTGAAACTTTGGAATTTTAGAATTCTCGAATTTTGAAACTCTGTACGCCTGAAATTCTCAAATTTTGAAACTTTGAAATTTTAAAATTCTCAAATTTTGGAACTTTAGATGCTTGAAACTTTAAAATTTTGAAACTTTGGAATTCTAGAATTCTCGAAACTTTGGAACTCTGGAAGCTTAAAACTCTAAAATTCAGATATTTTGAAATTTTAGATTTCTCGAAATTTGGAACTTTGGACGCTTGAAACTCTAAAATTCTGAAACTTTGGAATTCTAGAATTCTCAAACTTTGGAACTCTGGAAGCTTGGAACTCTAAAATTCTGAAATTTTAGATTTCTCGAGTTTTGGAACTCTGGAAGCTTGAAACTCTAAAATTCTGAAACTTTGGAATTCTAGAATTCTCGAACTTTGGTACTCTGGACGCTTTAAACTCTAAAATTTTGAAACTTTGGAATTCTAGAATTTTCGAACTTTGGTACTCTAAAAGCTTGAAATTCTAAAATTTTGAAACTTTGGATTCTAGAATTCTCGTACTTTGGAACTCTGAACGCTTGGCACTCTATAATTCTGAAACTTTGGAATTTTAAAATTCTCGAACTCTTTGAAACTCCATACGCTTGAAACTATAAAATTTTAAAACCATGGAATTTTAGGATTTTCAAACTTTAAAATTTTGAAATTGTGACTTTGGAATTTGGTAGTATTGGAACTTTGAGACAAAATTAAAACTTTTAAAAATCCAAAGATCTCAAATATCTCTAAGTAAATTTTCACACGATGTCGCGTTAAGACTTGAGAAAGTTACTTACTCGCATCGAGAGCTCTTCCGTTGACGTACCACTCTACCCTCATGGTGGGATCGCCCACCGGTTCGATTCTGGCCTCGAAGTGAATTCGTCCACCCTCGATCTGATGGACGTCCTTCAATGGTATGATGAAACGTGGTGGTGGATAAACTCTATCTTCCTCAGGCGGAGGCAAATATGGCTTGGCACGTTCCACGTGTCTCAAATAAATCACTTCGGGGCCAGGCGCTGGTCTGCAACCAATTTCATCATTACCTTCGCTCTTCAGCAATGAATCTTACAAATTTCATTAAATCCCTACTGTTTCATGATCCCTACCATCTTTCTTCCTTCAGTTTGCGTAAAAATAAAATTGTAAAATTAATATTCAATCGAGTAAACATAATTTGTCTAGCTTAAATTATTAAAATTAATTATATAGAATACAATACGAGGTTTCGCACGGACAAAAGTTATTTATTCATTTCTGCGTAAATAAAAATTAATTATACAAAATAAGATACGAAGTTTCACGTGAACAAAAATTTAACAAATACTCGACTTACTCTGGTTCGATGACTTTCGTCGGTCGGGGTAAATTCAGGCGTCTTGGTTCGGGGGCTGTTCCTTTCGGTGTTTCCACGAAGAGCCGTGCTCGGGTGGCGGTAGAGCCGGCAACATTCTGCGCCGTGCACTGGTACCAAGCTGCATCTGACAATTTCGCGTAGGATATATCCAAAGTTGACGATCCGCTACCGTCCGTTGAAATACGCACATCCGGTCCAGGTGTTATTGGCACTCCATCCTGTGACAATAAATTTCAATAAAATTGACTTTTATTCCGTATACAACGCTGCAAGATTGTTCTCAATCGAACAAAACCGCAAACGGATTTCGAGAATTTAACTCGAACTTAATCTCAAAAATTGAAATAAAATTTCCTTGATAATTTAATCCCAGAGATCAAGCTTCTAAAATTTTTACGAAATTTGAATTCAGAATATTTTTATCGCAATTCAATTTGAGAAGCAAATTTAAAAATCGATTTAAAATTAAGGCCATTAAAAAAAAAAAATGTTTATGAATTTTATTTTCATTTGTGAAATTTAAAAAAAAAAAACAAATTTATGAAGAATTATGAATTGATATTGATGAAAAGATATAATTCGTTTCAATTTCTAAATCCACTTGAGATCAATTGACCAACCTTCTGCCAGGTGATGCGCGGTACAGGAGTGCCGACCGCACGTGCCATGAAAACAACCGGTTCTCCCTCTTTTACATTCGTCGTTGTGAATCGTTCCACGAATTTCGGCGCGACAACTTGCTCCTTCTCGATCACGTTCAAATTACACTGGAACGAGGTTTCGCCAGCCTTGTTCCTAGCGACGCAGGTCACCACGCCGGCATCCGCGCGGCTTACGTTCGTGATCATCAGCGAGTTATTACCAGACTCGTTCACGAGGATCTTGTGGGTCAGATCGTTGGCCACTTGTTGGCCGTTTATGTACCATGTCACTTCGGGATACGGGCGGCCGGTCACGCGACAATCAAACCTGAAATTACACGTGCAATTCTTAATTTCTCAATGCCGAAAATTTCCGCGAAGAGGAGAATGATCGAAGGATAGATCAATCTAGATTAACACGTATAATGAAATTTAACAAGGTACTACATTTTATCGGACAATGATAACAATTAAAATGACAGTCTAATTGTTAGAAATATTTTTCGAGATTTTTCAATTTGGATAGTTCTATTCTATTTTTCTTTTTTTTTTCAACTGTAGCATAACACTATTGAATAATACGAAATATGATATAACAATGTTAATGAAATAATATATAATAATTATTAAATATTATGAAATATGATATAATAATGTTAATGAAATAATATATAATATATTATTAAATAAATTATATAATAATTATATAATATTATGAAATATAATATAATAATGTTGATGAAATAATATATAATAATTATTAAATAAATTATATAATGTTAGTGAAACAATATATAATAATTTTTAAATAAATTATATAATTATATAATATTATGAAATATAATATAATAATGTTTATGAAATAATATATAATAACTATTAAATAAATTATATAATTATTAAATATTATGAAATATGATACAATAATGTTAATGAAATAATATATAATAACTATTAAATAAATTATATAATTATTAAATATTATGAAATATGATATAATAATGTTAATGAAATAATATATAATATATTATTAAATAAATTATGTAATAATTATATAATATTATATAGTAATTATTACATACTATGAAATATGATATAATAATATATGATAAAATGATATATAGTACCTTTCTACAATATACAATAACATAATTTTAAAATTTTTTGAAATCAAAAATATTACGAACAACGTGTTTAAAAAACTTGACAAAAATAAAAGTTGAAGTAATACTTCGATAACAAGGAAGATGTGTGTCATGTTTTCTTTAGAAATCCCACGTGATTGTTGAATTTGCGAAAAAGGTTGTTATCCCGACGATTGAGCAAACGTACCTGGTCATTTTCCCTTCGGTGGCATCGCGATCGGTGCAGGTGCGAACGAAATTCGGCGGCAGAACTTTCCCAGAGTCTGACTCGCCAGTCGTTTCGACCTGCTGCGCCTTGATCGTTTCCCGTGGTGCTTGATAGGCCTGATCTACTTGATCGCTGGACTCGATCGCCAGATACGCGGAGCTAACGGTGCAACCCTGAGGATTTTCCGAGAGCAAGGTGTAGTGGCCGCTATCCTCTGGCAGGGCGACTCTGATCCTCAAGGTGGCCTGTTGATTCGAATGGCTCATCTCCACGCGTTGCGACTCGCGGATCCTCTGTCCGTTTTTGAACCAAGTTAACTGAAACGGCAAGCGAAATTCCGTTAGAAAATTCAGCGAATTTTAGTGAATTTTATTGTTAAGTGATAGATTCAAACTGGAAGTTTTGCAAATAATATTTATTCTCTGGACAAAGCTTCGTCCAATGCAAGTAAAGAAATTGTAATAAAATCGTGATAATGCAACGGAAGTAAAATTTCGTCGTGGAAGTAAAGAAAGGAGACGACAAATATGATGTTTTCGTTCATTCTGCCCTTTGAAGAAATACAAAAATTTTAAGCACAGTGTATTAAAGTAAGCACGTGAAATTTTGAGTAGCTAGTTAAAAAAATATAAACAAGTGATTAGTGGGAAGATTGTCAGCTTACTCTTGGTTTCGGATTGCCGGAGATTTTCGCAGTGAAAACGGCGTCGGATCCCTCGACGAGCTTCGAGTTTCTCGGCTTCTGCGTGATCTGCGGAGGTGCAACCGGTCCCAAGCTACGATCTACCACCGTCGAAATCTGCACGTCGGACTCGCCCACGAAACGGCGAGTAATCGACTCTCGAAACTCTGTTTCCCGCAGCAGCCTGTATTCAAACGTGTCCACCTGCAAATCGTATTTTAAACTTCCGTTAGTTTCCATCATAAATCTTGTAAATCCTCAGAAACAAATTCCAAAGACATATTACCCCTGCAGATTTCTATGCATTCGTGAAAAATTGAAAGCTGAAAAGAAAATATAGGCGCCTGATGTTTTAAAGCGGAAATATATCAAAAATCCAAAAGTCAGACGAAGGGAATTTCTTTAAAATTGAAAGCTGAAGAAAATATAAGTACTTGATGGATGTGATATTTCAAAGCAAAAATATATCAAAAATTCAATTATCAGATGAAAGAAATTTCTTTAAAATTTGACGACGCAAACATGTTTCTGCTAAAATAGTAAAAACAAACTTATCATGTGCGTTACTATTATTTTATATTTATTATATTATATCTATTATAATAGATATAATTATATTTATATTCATTATATATTTTTTTATATATTTTATTATTATTTTCGACAGACAATGCTTTAGTATTGAGAAACAAATTTATCGTTTCGCATTTTTGCATTAGCTCGCAAATATATTTTCGTCAAAAGGAAAAGAACAATCTATGAAAACGAAATGCGTCGAGTCTCACTTCTTTAGTTATGTCTATAAAAAGATATAAAAATCCGCATGTTTAAAAATATCTTTTTTCCAATTTCATACTCCTTCCTTTTGTTTATTTTTTTATTATCTCCTCGTGTATATGTTTCTTAGCTTATCGAGGAAAATTTATTTAGTGTATACAACCTTGAAATCTTCGATGCTGGTGGAGGTTCCATTGACGTAGCTTCGTTTATCGATCGTTTGTTGATAACTACGTTGTTGGAAGCTTTGTGTTCCTGTTTGAGTCTTTTGTTCCGTCGACTGGAAGGACTGCGAATATTCCTTCCTGTAACCCTGTTGCGGAGGTGGTCCAAATCCTTCTGGCTGAATGTAAACGGAGCAGATTGCTTCGCCTGAGGAAGTGCAATTGTTACATTACATTACAGCCTTGTGATTTAAAGAACAAAGAGTTAAAGTGTATCACTGGGTCTTCACGCTTTGTTAAAGTGAACAATATATACGCGGAGTATAACAATATATCTTCTTTTGGATAAAACAGAACCTAACGAAGTTTTTATCTTTTTCTATAAATTTATACTTTCATTCGATTCTTTCATTCTATATTGTGGAACACTGGTAAATTTTTAACAATTGTTTTTCATTAGGTAATTGATTCACATGATCTAATTAGCTTTATCTCTAATTGTACTAAACCTTCGGTAAGTATATAAGTACATGTAAGTCCCAAATTGCAACATTTTTCTCAGTTTTATGTATATTGTAAATGTAACCCAGGCAAAACGAATGACAAGTCGATTGCTTCTCAATAGTGATAAGAAAAAGAAAGCGACGAATTACTGTATACGGCTCGGTCACTCGTTATGGTCCGCGACCTAGTTGCCAGGGATTAAGAGAGAATCGAGCAACGATTTATAATGAAAAATATTTTGAAATATACGTTTGAAATATATGACTGCGAGCGAAAACACTCACCGTATTGATTTTTAGCACTGCACGTGTATTCACCCTCGTCTCCGGGGCCGATCTGATTAATTTGAAGCGTGACCGCTCCGGTCTTCTCGTCGTAAGACATTCGAATTTTCCATGATTCCAACAACGGTGCACCCTTGTGCGTCCAGGTGACGGTGGGTTTCGGATTCCCTCGGACGCGACCCTCGAAAATCGCATTTCCACCCTGCGCGAATCTGGCGTTCTTGAAGATCTGTTCGAAAACCGGCGGCGATGGATCGCCGGGCCTGCCGGAAAATCTGCAACGTTACGAAAGAAAATCCTGAAAGTTCCTTACTAACCGTTCTACGATGTCAAACGAAACTCTGGCAACTGAGTTTCAAACCCTTTGTTAATAATTAACAAGTTTCTGAATTTTTTTTCGAAGGGAACACCAAACTTGTTTAATCGCAGCAATTGATTAGTAACTCGTTCAGAATTTATAACTCTTCCTGGCCTTTTCAAAGCACGAAGGAGTTAGTTCCAATCTAAACTTTGTCAAACGATACTGTTTTATTTATAATTCTCAGATATCTTAAACAAAGTTTCATTTCTTCCTGCAGTCTGTTCAAGAGCTTTGAAATTGAAGGAGGCTTTCATCAGAGAAGATGAATATTTTTCGAAAAATAAACGAGAGACGATACTTACGTTGGTACCGTGGGCGTCGTCTGCATCACAATCTCCCCTTGAACTGTAAAAGATAAAAAAAAGCACGAAATATGAATCCTTCGAAATATAAATAAAATATAAAGAATGAGAGATTATGGGGAAGAAAACATTACAAAAGATCAAACTACGTAATGGCGTACTAGTTTTTACTTCAGTTAGTAAAAACTAGTACGTATAAATTGTTTTATTTCTATTTTCCTTGTATGTTACGTAATCACGATAAGTTTGTCCTCGATCGCTCGGACGGAAGAGAAATGCACTACGAAGCTTTCGCCAATTTTTTTTCGAAACCTATGGGATGCCTCCCACTGGTTCATTTCCTCTCGTTCCCCCTAACTGGGCCAGAACGAATCAAGGAAACGAACCGTTGACGCCGTTTTCTTCTCTCTCGTCGTCACGCGTCGTGCACCTTTTTTACAGACTTATCTACAGTGGAACTCGGTGCAATTAAGTCAATTTGCTAATTAAGCACGGGGCCCCGTTGACGCGAAATACTTGAGTGCTGTATCTATATTACGAGACTCGTACGAATTCTCATGCGTTCTCATTTTAGAAAATTTAACGATGCAAAAATAGGAAGAAATATATAAGTAAAGAACTCGTTATAGTTTGATGAATCTCCATTCGAGAGTTATAAAAATATACTTTCACATACGAAGTACATAAATACGTATAATACGTTCGAGTTCAATTTTTTTTTCTTTTTTTACTATTCTGGTTTCTTAAGAAATTTTGAAAAATTCCGATACACATCAATATTTTTATATTTTTATATTTTATTTTATATTTTTATTTTTCTATATTTTATTTTATATTTTTATATTTTATTATATATTTTTATTTTTTTATATTTTATTTTATATTTTTATATTTCTATATTTTTATATTTTTATATTTTATTTTATATTTTTATATTTTATTTTATATTTTTATATTTTATTTTATATTTTTATATTTTATATTTTTATATTTTTATATTTTTATATTCTATATTTATATTCTATTATACTTATATTTTATATTCTATATTTTATTTTATATTTTTATATTTTTATATTCTATATTTATATTCTATTATACTTATATTTTATATTCTATATTAATTCTATATTTTTATATTCTACAACCTGTACACATTATACAACATGTTCAATTTTTTAAATTCTCCTCAATGAAAGTAAGAATCGAGATCCGTGTCTGATCATGACTAGATTAAATCTACTTGTTGCTTCTGCCCAATAAGTAATATTTCTATAACCAAACGAACGAAAATGATTTCACGCAAAAAATAATAGTAAACATTAAACGTATCAATATCAAAATTTTTCCAACTATCGCTCCTTTTCGTAAAAAAAAAGTTTTATACTTGAACCTGATCTAAGAATGTCTTCTCGTTAAAAATTTACGTTTGCAACGTAAAATCACTTTGCACGCGATCTTCGTCGCAACATCGCGTGTTATTTATTTGTCCGTCAATTCTTTCTGGAGATTAAGTAATTTCATTTCATTTTACCAGCTCGAAAGTGTCTGAATCATCGGCAACATCTGCAACACTTCTTTAGCGCGAGGAAAAATACAGGATCGCTTTTTTGAACTTCACGTGTTCTTTTCATTTTAGTAGCCGACATCGTGAAACTCACGCGAGTCGAGGACTACCGATGGATTCTCTCGATCAACATTACTCGCATACTTGCGATATGTTCGATGATTAGCAGGCGCCAGCTACTAATTAATTGACAGTAGCTAGACGAGAACTTCGGCGAGAATAAACTTCCAACAACAATCTCGACGATCGCCGTTTAAAACCACTCTCGTTGTCACGGTTAAAGCGGCCCGAGCGGGTTCTAGAAACGGTGACGCGATCATCGAGAAATTTCAAGCATGAACTCGCGTTTGAGCGAGATGCATCGTGCAATAAATTGGAGGAAAGAGAAAAAAGGACGCGAGAAAGCGTCGGGACGCAAATAAGTACGCGTCTGTTGTTTCAGGTTGACTCGTTTGAATATTTCACTATTACAGATTATCCACTGGTGTGAAAGTTAAAATTGGAGAGCTCGGAAACTAATCAAGTCAATTTTAATCAATAAAAAGATATTTCCATGACGATCTTTTTAATTAAAATTAACGAAATTTAACAAGGAATTTGAAATTTAATTAATCGACGAAATCTTCAGTCGACAGAACAATTTACCTAGTCGTTGCAACGTGATTGCCAAACTGCGGATTTTTACGCAAATCTGTATCATTATAAATGGAAAAGTTGCTTTATCTATTAAATATTGCACAAAGTTGTATTTCAGATATTTTATGTATATTACATACGTTCTGGAATTTCTGTAGCTATTTTTAAATTTTCTACAAATGCATGAAACTCGGCAATTTAATGGTCACTATAAAACGATTATCACGATACGTTAACTGGATTATTCTGCCGATTTATTAATTTGAAGCTCCAATTATAGTCTGGGGTTCGTATTAAAATTTTTCTTCGAAAACATACTGAGAAGCAATTGTAATTGGATAATTATCTAATATTTGGGACGGTGTTGCCAAGTTATAGACAAAAATATCCTCATCACGAGGATGAAAGACGTAAACTACATAATAAATCTGATGAAACGTGATTTTCAAAATCACGGATGAAATTTTCTCAATATTTAAAACTTCCTCGTCTACGAGCTGAAATGATAAAGAAAGAATGACAAATTTTTCTTTAATTAATTTCACATTTGTCATTCATTGATCGTGTAAGAAAATAATAGATACTATTTCCAATCACATTCGTTTTTCATTAATTTGTATAAGCATATATATAATTTTCGATGTCATTACAGTTATTTTAGAGCTTATGTTTGGACAGAATTATATTTTGTATTTAACGCATGAAGTATATACGATTACGTTCAGAAGTAAATGTTGACATTTTTCGAGTGTTCATTATGATGATTCGCTAGAGAAAGATTGATAGACATTATTTTGAAGAATGTTAAGGTATAATGGATAATTAAGAGAGCGTGATATCGAAAAACACGAAAGATAACAATGTTCGTATTTGTTCTGTCAGTCGTGGAGTTTCAAGCGATGACTTAATCTTCACAAAACATAGATCCATTAAACCATTAAACGAAGAGTCTCTCAAAAGATAAATTGATCTCTCGACTCTTTTTGTTTCTTTAATTTTATTACTCAGGCTGTATGATTACGTACATTGGAAAACTTGCTTCGATACGTAAGAAAACGTATTGTAGCATATAAATTTTTGTAGAAATTTTTAAAAAAACGACGCTCCTAACATCTCACTGTACTTTGCTAATTTCCAATTTATGAAACTGATTCTGCTTGATGGATAGTTTACGAGTTTTCTATTTTTATACTTGACTTTCATTTAGAATTTAATTTAATAAAAACGTTTGTTGAATATTTGAGCTAGTCGAAAGTTACCATTTATTCGGAAAATACTAGAAAATACTAAATCCTCAATCACCTCTGTCAATATAAGAAAATAAAATAATAAATAAATAAACTGTAGATCTAAACCATCTTAATAAATTTTTCTCTTAAGTCTTTTGTATTTCATATCACCTTAATATATGGTACTATAGTTATCTATCGCTTAAATAAATATGCGTTCGTTAAAAATTCAACGACTTCATAACTCGTACTATCCAGAATTTCGCAAATCTCGAAACGAACTAAAAATGTGCAAGTATCCTCAAATCCATCGACGAATTCGGTTCACAAGGAACCATTCATCGAAGAGCTATACGTTGACGTATACGAGGTACATTCCCGGTTAAAAGTCTTTTTGTTTAAAAATTTGCACACGCAAAGACATCCAACACATTCAAACTGACGCAAACAAAATTGAAAATTACAAAATACAAAATTTAGAGATTAAAACGAGTCTCCAGTTTCAATTCTTTCAGCTACAAATATTTCTCGCCAGATATTCCTCGATATTTATTAACTAATTCATATACATCGTATATCCAAAATACCCAGAAACATTTTGAAATATTCAAAATTTAGGATACATTTTCCACGTCATCGGTTGCATTCCTCGCTCTGTTATCTGTTCCTCATCGTAACTCAGCCAAAATTACTGAAACATCATCCGCATCATGTATAAACAAAATCGCGCGATAGATAAAATTCCTCCGTGTCCCCCGCCAGTTACCAAATCAATCCAAAAACCATTTTCGTAAACAAAGGCGTTTACTGCCAGCGCGTACAAAAATCGAGGAAAAGGGGAGGAAAGGAAAAGGGATCGGTGCCATTCTCGCTCAGCGGGCAGAGAAAAATGGGGGCGAGATAGGGACAAAGACAGATGAAAACAAAAAGAAACGCGCGAAGAGAGAGAGAGAGAGAGAGAAAGAGAGGAGAGAAGGACGTAACGTGGTCGGACAACCGCGGGATCCTATTTTTGCATCCAGATGGGGATCGCGTTACCGTGGGCCATTTTAGGAGCAACTATCTTTGCGCGGCGCCCAGCGCCGCGACGCGTCTACATCGGCCGGACTACATCGCACCAATCGCCGCGGACGTTACGCAAAGCCAGTCACTGACCAAAATAAAACAGCTCCAAAAGCCTGTCATCCCTCCCCTTCCAACCCTCTTCGCTGCCTCTCACCTCTCGCCATCTTTCTCTCTTTCGCTCCCCGTTCGGGAAATATTTATAAATGTTTGTTGCAAGTGACAGGGAGCGGAATAGGGATGCTCGTACGAATGATTTGAAACCATGGGCGTTCATGGGTGATCTTTTCTTTTTTTCTTTTTTTTTTCTCCTGTTTTTCTTTGAATCGACGCGGCAGCTTGACGATAAATGGCGTGCCATTTTTTCCTGCCTGTTCCTCGGTTGTCTGATCGATTGTTGGGCCAGGTTATTGTTTACGACCATTACGCTGACATACAGCTGACGGCCTCGATCAGCTGATTTAGTGACGGAGTAGCGTTCTTTCGGGTAGAATGAAAGAGTTCGAGTTGCTGGTGCATAATAGGTGGTTAGAAGCTTTAGATAGTCAG